GAGCGTGCTGATGAAGCTGAAGAGGCGCCTGAAGCTCCACTGCCAGAGGCAGCGGCTGATGGCCGGCAGAGCCGCGAAGCCGAGCTGCCGCGACAAGGCCGCGCAATGCGACTACCCGCGAGTCTCGGCAGAGCTCGAGTTTCCCTCGTGCTCGTCGGCCCTGCTCGTCGGCGCCGACGGCGAGCCGCAGCATCGTCGTCGAATGTCGTTGCCGTCACTGGAGTACGTGGCCAACTGTCGGCCGGGAGCGCTGAGGAGCCTGTCTAGCAGCGCGATCCTTGGTTGGCCGAAGCAGGGATCGAACGTTAGTCGGTCGAACGTTGACGGCGACGAGAGTTCGTCCATCGACCGCTCGTGGTTCGTTTTCGCGTGCAGTGCAGCAGGTCACCGCGTGGAAGCCGAGCGAGGCGCGGGGTCGCGGCGAGCTTGGACGCGCGCCGCTGCGGCAATCTGACGGCGGCTGACCTCGCGACCTTCCGCGGCAATCCCAGATTCCACGCGAGCGACTCGACGCGACTCGACAAGGCCGACGATCTGGCGGTCGGGAGAATCTTGCTGGACGACTACATAATCGAGGTGAAGGAGATCATCCGGTCGGAGTTATCGGGTTCGCAACCCACGGCCCGCGAGACGCAAATTCTCGACAGCGTGAGGAAGCGCATCGACGAGGACGTCCTATTGTCAGCACGCGCCGACAGTCGACAGTCGCTTAGTCCTGCCGTGTCGTACGTCACCGCTCGCGAGTGTCCGTCGAGCTGCTGCTGCTGCTGTTGCTGCTGCTGTTGCTGTTGCTGCTGCTCTTCTTCCTCCTCCTCCTGCTCTTACTTCTGCTCGTGCGCCTGCAGAGACAGCGACTCGAGCTTGCGATTCCGCCAGTCGTGCTGCTCGGGTCGCGATATCGTTGGCCAAAGTTGTGCGTTGCGCCTCGCCGGTAGAGGTACGGACGAGTCGGCAGGGTGCATCCGGCAAAGGCAGCAATTGATGTCGCGTTTTCATCAGACAGCCACTTGATCGTCGCGAGAGCGGGCAAACGGGCAAGCCCGACGAGTGGCAAGTGGAGCCAATCGACAGACTCGGGCGTGCAGATGGAATTGGCGCGACCGCCGGCCGGTTGCGATTCATCGGACGACTCGAGCGCAAACTCGGTGAGCAGCAGCAGCAGCAGCAACAGCAGCGGCGGCGGCGGCGGCGGCGGCGGCGGCGGCGGCGGCGACGACGAGATGCTGTGCCGACGGGTTGAGAGCGCCGTGAGGAAGTTTACGGAGAAGCTGATTGTGTGCGAGCGCCGGGCAAGGGATCGATCGAGGTCGCGCAGCGCCAAGAGGCAGCGAAATCCCAGGCCGAAGGTATATCGCGAAACGGCGCGCCGCGCGCCGTCGCGTCGTTTTACGCGACATGTGCATCGTCGTTGATCGATCGGCAGGGCTGCGCGTCGTCGTCGGCGAAGCGCGAGCGGTCCGATCGCTCGCAGGGCGAGCGCCGTTGCAGCGAGGACGAGGCCGTCACCGGGATCTTCACGCCGTCCCTCGTCTCGCTGTCGGACGAGGAGACCCGAGCGAGCTCGCTCGTCGGTCGCCCAGTCGAATAAACAGCTGCGTCGTCCTAATTTCAAGTGTATTTGCGCACCGCTTGCCGGCCACTCGCTGTCGCGAGACGCGCGCGCGCGCACGCACAACGAGAACCGACCGCATCATTACGCGAGAGAACTGGACGCTTCCTTCTGCGGTTTCCTTTGACGACGCTGCCGCCGCCCGTGTGCCCGGCCGAGCGGAAGTGCGGAACGCCCCGCGAGTCTTTATCTCGACGCAGATATTTCGCCCGGTTGCGCAAAGTGGTCAGCAGCCTCTTCTCTCCCTTTCTTCGCTTCAGCGCCGCGCCAGTAGCCCGCGCGCGTGCTATTGCGTCCGCGTCTCGCTGCTCTAATCGCACGTTCGGACGCGACGCTCCGTCCGGCCGACGGAAAGCTCGCTGCGCTGCTCCTCTCTGCTCCTCTTCGTTTCACTCGTACGGAGGAGGCCCGCGAAAATGCTCGGCGGCAGCGAGTCGCGCAGCCAGGAGGGAGGCTCGGCCGATCAAAGCGAAGGTTCGCTCGAAGCGGGAGGACTGACCGCGCCCTGCGCAAAAGCTGCACACCCGACGAATGCTCTCCGAGGTCTCGCGCGTAGCCCGTCGCGTAGTTCGACGACACCGCGACGCAAGCGGCTTGGCGGTGACTCGTGACGACGCACGCGGCCAGCGGTGGTGTTTCCAGTGGATCGCAGCAGCCGCTGCCGCCGCCGCTTGGTGCATATAACGAGCGAGCGCGATGGCGGATTACGCGGTGCGGCCCGGCGAGAGCAGCGCACCACGAGACATAATGAAGCCGCGCCGAGGCGACGACTCGTCAAAGGGAAACGCCACTGGGAATTAGATGTATGCGGCGAGGAGATAAGATGATTTGCCGCGGCTCATCCGTCTCCCTTTCAATGCGAACTGTAATTACACGGGGATCCCTTTTTTTCTTCGCTTCTGCTGCCTTCGTTTATACGTCCGCGGCGCTAATAGAGGCTTAACTCGAGAGCGGAGCTGCGCCTTTCAATAGCTATTGAAGAGAGAGAGAGAGAGAGAGAGAGAGTCGCGCTGCGGCGAGGATCAGATTTTACCGAAGGCTAACTACGAGAGGCCGGCCTAGATTAATTATGTGCAGATTGGCCTCGTTACGCCAGTTCGCTTTTGTACGCTTCATTTGCATGCTGCAAAGGAGGGAGGATTGATTAGGCCCAACTAGGCAGCTGAATTGGGCAACGATTTAAGCGGCGTTTGCGCGCGCGCTGGAAAATAATATAGCCAATGGTCGCGGAATACTCTTCGGCGCGCGTAACGTTCAGCGGTAATGCCGGAGAATGTGATATAGCCCCGCGCGGCTGGAGTGCAGGCGGGATATACGTAGCTGCGTACGCGTGCGCTATGCGTCCGACCGACTACGGGCTGGGCGATCGAGCGCTGCCGCGACGAGGATCCAAACGCCGCTGGCAGTAGAAATCGGCGCATCCGCCCAAGTTTGCCAGCTAATGCGATTACCGAGCTCGGGAAATTAAATATCGCTTTGCGCCGGGGGGAAAATGTTTGTCGCGGGCGGAAATGCTCGCTCGCGGGCAAAGCGCGTCGCTCCCGGCGTCCTTTCCCCCGAGGCAAAGGTCTGCTCGCGCGCACTTCTCCGCGTCTCCGCGAAAGCTCTCTAAATCCAAGAAAAGTGCAAGCACTAACGCCCTTCTCTCGTGCTCGCTTGCCGAGGCTTTTACAGTTATTGCAGCGCGAAGGCGAGGCGAAAAAAGGAAGCGCGCGCTCGAGCGCTCGGGTCAGCTCGTGTTTGCCGTGACCCAAGCGAAAGCCGTTTGTCCATCTCTCGAATCACGTATACGTTTTTCTCTGATTGCGCGAGAGCCTTCGAGGGAGGCGGAGGCAGCGCGCAAGGAGTTGGCTTAATCGGGCGTGATGTTGCGAAGCGGCGACAATCGGCGATTCTCTCTCTCTCTCTCTCTCTTCCCTAATGTTCGGCCGACAAATAAATGGAAGAAGAAGACGTAGGGGACGGCACAGCTCGAAGACAATTACACCGGTTGCGCCTCGCGTCCCCTCGCTGCTGCGGTCTTGACACACTTGATCTTGCCTGCCCCTCCCTAGCAAAGCGCGACACAAGCTTTCGCCGTAGACGAATCAATTTGCCCGATTTTCCTTGACGCCTCGTTTGCCACGAGCGCGAACCCGTCGAAATCCGCAAGGTTTTCTTAAAAAAGAAGAGAGAGAGAGAGAGAGAGAAAAGAAAAACTGATACTGGCCGGTATAAAAAAATACGACGAAAGTGTTGCTGCGCCAGCGCCGGCACACGATCGAATTCCATTTTCGCGAGGCGCGTCGAAATAGCAAAGCGAGCGTGACAAAGTTCCATCTTTTGGGCGAGAAAATTGAAAAATTGCTCTCCTATAGGCCGCTGAAACTATCTTGCGTGGGCGAGCGTGGCGCACGGGGTTGCCGAGATATTCCCGCAGGAGCTTCGAAGAGAGAGAGATGCTCTAAGTGGATTCTCCAGCCTTTGTCGCGCGAAGCCGTCTCTCCATCTCCACAAAAGAAGTCCTTATATAAGCTCCCGCGCAAAGGATGGAAAATTGGCGGGCGCGCGCGCGCCGAGCCAATCGAATTCCGCCGAGGTGAATTATTGCAGGTTGTCGCGGGAACGTAAATACATAGAGCGGAGCGCGCTCGCAGGTATCGCCGTTCTATTTCTATTTCCGCGACATATAGCTCGCGCGAGCTGCCTATAAGAGTGTCGAGGGCTCGCGTCGCGCGAATGCGCACGTATAGCTCGCGGGCACGCCGAATCCAGCGCGCCGATAATAATTCAAAGCTCTTAGTGCGCGGTCGCATCAAAGTCCCATCGGCGCGAGCGGGAGGAAACGTCGCCGGGCCAAATCCGCAGCATCGCGGCGGGGATTTAAAGTCTTCCTTTCTTGCCGGCGATCTCTTTATCCCGGCGCTGCCACACAAAGCTTCCGCGAAGATTACTTCTCGCGCGGGCGGCAGCACCGAGCTTGCCACACGGCCTTACGGGGGTCGCTGAAGGCTAATATCGACTATCGGATACGCGCGCGTGTGCGTGCAGCGCGCGGACATTGTCGATCGCTGACTGACTTTCTTTTATTCGCTCCTCGGCGTCGTCGGGCTTTGTCGTCACCGCTGATCTTCTGTCGAATTATTTTCCTATCCCAGACTTACCGGCTATATAGCTATTTAAAGACCCATCAACATTTTACGCTTCCTTCTATTTTGTTTTGTCTTGCTTTGCGTGTCGATAAAGCCGTTGGGTAGAGCAAGTAATTTTTGTCGAGTAGAGCAAGTATTGCTAAGAACAAGGCAACGTTTTCGAGGGATGAATTTCAGTAAAGAATAACCAAGATTCTTGTGGTGTTGGATCATGATCGTTTATTTTATAAATAACCATTTCGATATTCACACTTATACATAGAATTTTTACATAAAATTGTTGACACTTATCAACCAAGTTTTCGACGACCGCTTCGCTATCGCAATATACATTTTTTACAGAATAATAAGCTCGCTAGGCATTACGCTGTTTACAAAAGAAACATTGCTCTATTTACACGTTAATGAGATCGTATCCTTGTCTATGATGTAAACATATTCGATTGACTAGAATATTCAAAGAAAGGTTCGACGACTAGATTTTCGCTTTGTGGATCTCGAGGCATAATTTTTTCTTGTGAAATGAAAATTGAAAGATCCTTTTCCAAGTACGAGTAAACTGATTGAAGGTTCGGATAAGGCTCCTTTTCCAATCAGTTTGCTCGTGTAGAGCATCCATTTCCACTTCATTTGACTAGATTCCGAGACTAAACACTATAGTTTTTGGTTTGCTTCCAGAGAACGTTATTGGAATGACGACCGCATCAAAAAGACTAGATTTTTTTTCTTTCGTATCAGCAACGTCTGAATTTTAGTTTATGTATTATAATATTTTCCGTAATACAGCCGCGAGAATATATTTGGTTCAACGCTTTATTAATCTTTATATCTTATCCTAGAGTATCTAATTTACATTATATTTTTGGCATTCAAAGCTGATATATTCAACGAGAAATTGCAATGACTAGATTACACAATCGATTTTTATCAGAACTTAAAGATTTCGATCGGTTTCTCAAAGTGCGCGCAGTTTACTTTTCATCTTGATTAAATTTTCAATCGATTCAAACTTCATTCCATTTTCATGTTTTCTTCTTTGGTTTCCAAAATTTGTCGTGGACTAAATTTTCTTTCTGCAAACTGCACTCATTTTGAAATTTGCATCGCGACAGAAAGCCCACGTCGCAACGGCACTTCTTTAGCGCGATAAAAATAGCAACTGGACGTAAAATCGAATACAGTTAACGCATAGGAAAAAGAAATCGTATCACCCGGCATTTTTGTTGCATATAAATAAGCTATTCAGTCCGAAATGCAAGATACTAAAGTTATTGCAATGAAGGCCCTTCCCTAAAAGCTAAACGAAAGAGAAAGTCACACGAATATCTGTGCACAGCTTAACCGACTAGACGGGGAGTTAGTTGTTTCGGTAGGCGCTCCGGAGAGCAGGAGTGCGACAATAAAAATAAAGTGTAAGCAAGGGAGGGAGGCAGGTAGCCGAGGCCCGGAGCGGCCAGAGAATCGCTAGAGAATCGCAGTGGCGCTTACATGAGATCGAGGCCGAATCTCCAGTAGAGCTGGTGGTGGTGGTGGTGGTGGTGGTGGTGGTGACGCAGGGGCATCGGGCGCGCGGGCAGCTGGGCCTGTCAGGCCAGCTCGGCGGCCAGGGCCGCGCCCTTGCCCGGCCGCTCGTCCTCGTTGTTGTTCTGCTCGGGCGGGTGCTGCTGCGCCAGGTGCTTCCTGAGCGCGGCCGGCCTGGCGAACTTGGCGTCGCAGCGCGCGCACGCCAGGCCGTCCGGCGCGGGCGCCGCCGGCGAGGCGGCCGCGGCCGGCTCGGGCCGCGGCTTGTGCCAGCGCCGGTGGCTGGCCAGGTTGGCCGGGCAGGAGAAGCGCTTGTCGCACTCGGGGCAGCGGTACTCCACGTGCGCGATGCGCGAGCAGCGGTGCTGCGCCAGCTGGAAGGCGTCCTCGTGCAGCTGGCGGCAGAGCTTGCACTGGTAGGGCCCCAGCCGGTTCTCGATCTTGGCGAGCTCGGCGCGCGCCTCCTCGGTCACCTCCACGATGTTGAAGGCGGGGTCGATGTCGCCGGTGACCACGGCCTCGTCGGGCCCGAGGATGACGGTGCCCGAGACGGGGCTGCTGGTGTCCTCGTCGAACTTGAGCCGGCGCGCGGGCTTGCGCTTGGGGCGCGCGGCCGCGGCGCCCGGGCGGTCGCGCGCGGGCGTCAGGGCCGGCGAGGCGGGCGCCCTTGCGCGCCGGCCCGGGCACTGCGGCGGCGAGGGCGTGCTCGGCGGCGTCATGGGCGCGTGGTGCGGCGTCGACGGGCAGTCGGGGCTGAGCAGCGCCGGGCAGCCGCTGAGGCGCGACGACGAGCGGCTGTCCAGGTCGTCGACCACCAGCTCCTCGAGCGGCCGCGGCCGCGACGGGCACACGGCGAGCGGCTGCAGCGGCTGCGGCGCGTAGTAGCCGGCGCCCTCGGCCGAGTGCTGGCTGCGCGCGCGCTCGCGGCCGCGCCGGTCCTCCTCGTCGTCGACCTCGATGGGGCTGGCGGCCGGCGGCGGCGGCGGCGGCGGTTTCAGCGACAGGTCCAGCGGGCAGGGGCTGGCGGGCCGCGGCGGCGCGGCCGCGTGGCTGGTCCAGGCGTGGAAGACCGCGCGCTGCGCGGCCACGTAGCTCTCGTGCTGCTGCTGCTGCTGCTGCTGGGCCGCGTACACGTAGGGCTGCGGCTCCTCGAAGTAGCCGGCGCCGAGGTAGGCGCCCAGGTAGGCCCGCGCGGGCAGCGCGCTGTGCAGCATGCTCTCTGTCGCTCTCGTCTGCGTGTCGGGCTGAGCAGCGCGCGTTGCAGTGCGCCGAGTCGCTCGCGGCGGTGGCCAGGCGCCGGATGCTCCGCGGCTCGGCGCGCCGGCCGCTCTTAAAGCCCGCCGCGGCGGCAAGCTCCGCCCAGCGAGCTTACGCTCATTCGTGCCCCGCCACTGCGCGAGCGCCCGAGCCAGCTCGCGCCTAGGATCTATAATACCGATGGAGCAAGTGGGGGCACGCGGGAGGCCAGCAGCAGAGCCTGCTGCCGCGATGCAGCGCCGCGCGAGCAGTCGGAGAGAAGGGACGCTCCTTCGCTCGAGCCCGCGAGGAGTATTCCTGCCGTGTGGCTGCGCCGGAGAAGGGGCCATGCTGCTGCCCGAAGATTTCTCGAGGAGGCGGATACGAGAGGCGTTGCTGTGCTGCCCGCTCTCTCTCTCACTCTCTCTCTCTCTCTCTCTCCCTCTGTCTCTCTAAAGGCTCTTGCAGATGTGGACTCGCTCTCCGCGTCTTGTCCGCGATGTGCAATAGTTTTTCTGCAACAACGATTGCCGTTCAGTCCTTACACCGCGTACTTGTATGATCGCGAGAGGAATAGTTGCCAGCGCCAACGGTTTGGAAGAAAGAAAGAAAAATTATCGCTTACCCTGAGCTAATTAGACATTTCGTGACTTAACTTTTTGTCGCCGAAGGAAAGCCTATGGCACGTTTCATTCGACGTATGCTAAAGCGCTCTTTCTCATTTGCATGCGCAATTACCCAGCGTGCAATTTACGCGATCGCGCAATAATTTCACAATCGCGCGAACGTCGCTTTGCGTTTCAGCGAAAAAGGAGAGGGAAAAAATGTTGTTTTCCGCCTTCGTCAAGATTATTTAATTCCGTATGCGTGATTCTTAAATTCTTATTAATGCGCGTTATTACTTGGCCAACAAATTGCGCGCTTTACGGTTTTTCACTTTCAGAAAATGACGATTGGCCTGGAAAATCGCTGCGAGTAGTTGTTTCATTTCTGATTAACAAAGTACATTGCAGAATAAGTGGAGCGAAGTAATACCAAGTTCAGTCTTCCTTTTTATACTTCATTATATACAAATTTGCAACTCTTTTTCCCGGTGAGCTGCGAATAAAAACTCGGCTGAAAAAAATTCTTTGGTAAAAGAAATCACCTTGGGACGAAAGGTTTGCCGTATGATTTAGTTGCAAAGCATTGTTTTTGTAACGAGAGATAATCCTTTTACACGAGGAATTATTTCGGTATAACACAATGTTACGAGGGGCCAATTTTTACCGATTTTAATAGATCAATAGAACGTCTACGTGACGCACGCATGCCATTATATTAACATTACGAGTAATAGTGGTCACAGAACGACGAGAGAGAGAGAGAGAGAAAGAGTGTGTAATCCGTTGAGCTACTTAGCTAATTAGTCCGCGCTGCGGCGAAGCAAATTCGAGCGCGCGCGCGAGCTTTCTTCATTAATAATTCCGCGACTCTGATGGCACCCACAGGACACGATCGAAGCGAACCGTACCGGCGGCTTTCTTAGCTCGACAAAATCATAAGATCCTCTATATACCCGACCCGAATGGACCTTTCGATTAATATTGCAGTATAATGACGTCGTTGCCTCGGCTCGCCTTATTTCGAAATCAATTGCGCTCGCTGTTCCTATGGTTTTGTACTTTTTTTTTTCAATGTAAATAAATTGCCTTCGACTATTGAATAAGTACGGCGTCGAGTGACGTTCGAAGTGGATCGTGTTGTTCGTGTTTTTTCGCGCCGATGAGAAGAAAAGCCAAAGCACGCATATCGTGCACATTAGTCACGAAACTTTCGGATTCCCCTACTCGTGTCACCGATGAGATAATAAATGTGTTCCAAAGATAAAACTCGTGTTCATGGCGATTGCCATTGTCCAACGAGATAGCAAAGCGATAAACGGCATATTGTTTACAAGATTATTTCTCGTTGCTTGTGATTTCCACGTCTAATGGACGCTCACATTTTTCGCATTCCTCAACAGATACCTGAATGCATACATGTTTTTATCGTTTGTCGTAGATAACACTCAAGTTTCTTTTATTGATAACAAACTGAAAATAGATAGAGCGTTGAACAACATTCTAAACTCTGAAGAAATGCGGCAATACGTGCAGTGGTGCTGGATAATTTCTCAACCAGGTCGGGCCCTGATGAACCTTTTGGGTGTTACCGTCGCGCCATTTGCCAGCAGGCAGAAAGACGTCGCGTTCCAGTGCATTTTCCTCGATTACCGGAGCAGCCAATATCTGCTCTCCAAGAAGATACTCTGCGAAAACGAATGGACCGACCATTGGAAAAATAGCTTTCTTGGAGAGTTGTGGAGCTTACAAGTCGCGCAAGTGGACTCACCGTCGTTGATTTTGTGCGCTTCCGCGTTTTTGGGATCGACCCACCAAATCGGCGGATTGATCGGAGCTCCAGTTTGCACAGCCTTCTTCATGAGCTCCATGATCATCGGCGATATTTTGGCGTGCAAATCCGTAAAGGTCTTCGCAATACGTATCGTCTGTAAGGAAAGAAAAATGTTTTTTCGACATTCTTCTCAGGTGGAAGCGCGTGAAATGGAAACAAACGCAAACCTCGTCATCAAAGTCCCAAGGTACGAATGAATACTGCAGCGCGGGCATAAACACGTTAGCCTGAAGCCACCTTATAAACATTTCTTTGGAGGGCAACTCTGTTTCGGTGAGCGACCCATTGGCATAGCCATTGCCGCCGATCATGTCAGGCAGCACAAAAACGTATCCGTTAAGATTCATCTGCAGAAGCGTGGTAATGAGAGTGGGAAGACCATTGCTGAAGGACCAGCGAGTGTCCTTGTCGATCATTCTGATGAAAATGGGTAGTTGCTGGGTGCGCCAGCCGACGCGCGCCTCGATGTTGTCGTCAAAGTGCTTGGCCAAGTTGGTCGTGTAATTGTAGGTATAGACGGCTGGTTGCACCTCGTCGACGGCCGAGAGGTTCGGTGGCTGGGGCAGGAACGTCTCCTCGCCCGCGTCGAACTTGAAACTGTCGATGCCGAGGGCCTCGAGCTTTTTCAAACGACCTACCCACCATGCCACGGCCTTCGGATTGCTGAAGTCGATCGCTCCTGCTCCGTTGCCACCTGTTTGCATAGTTTCAATTACCGTCGACTGGCTTTCGTTCACTTCTCGTCGGACTCGATGCTTCCAAGCTTTATCGAATTTGATTATCGCGTCATGGCTTTCCATAATCGCGGTAGACCTTTAAACTAATGAAAACGTCACGTGCGATCGTAATAGACAAGCCGCCGTCCCAACCAATTCACTTTCGACATTTCGACCAGTCAAAGAATCGGCGTACCTTGCCACCAAGTGGTATGCACCTTGCCGTCCAAACTCTTCACGAAATAATTGTTTTTGAGCGCGTAATCGTAGGCCTCTCCGTCGTTGCACTTCTCGTTGATGAACGGATGTATCCAAAGCGTCACACGGAACTTTTTGGCCTTCAAATCAGCCAGCAGCTTCTTGACGTCGGGGAACTTTTTGGGATCGAACCTCGCCGAACCGTAGCACGTCTCCCAATTGTCATCGATCTCCAACTGGCTGTTATTGAAACCGTTCTTGATAATCTCGTCGGCGAACTGGCGCACGACCGCCTCGCTAATATCGGCCTTGTATCTCGCCCAGGTAGACCAGATGGGATGAGTAACCATCCTTTCATTGGGATGACCTGTTGGCATGCCAAAGTGAGACCTAACCACGTGCTCGTGTGCGAGCCGCGGATCCGGAAACACTCCGATCTCGTAATTCAGCGTGACGATTTTGCGCCAATGGTAGGGTGCTTTGTTTTTGGCAACCAGGCACAAATGTCGATGCAGCAAGTTATTCTGATCGAGGAAAAGCGGATCCCGCGGGTCACCGAACACATAGATCCCTTTGCTCGACAGCCAGTAGCGCTCGGCCAACGCCATGTTTTCCGGGTGCGTCGGCACGTACACTTCCTCGTCGTAGTACATGTGCTGGATCGGCCAACGCTGATGCCTGCCAAGACAAAGAAGAATAACGTTGCTTTTCGTTTTCACGCGGCTGAAGACCGGTGCTCTTTACCTTAGTTGGGGCCCTCCAAACCACTCTGTGTTTTCTGCCAACAAGTAGCAATCCGATAACTGAGCCTCAGGATCGTCAATTGAACGTTTAATGCGAATCACTTCACTGCCAGGATCAGTGCGTATTCTGATTAACGTCACGTTCTTCGATACAATGCACGTCGTATCAATTGAGCAGTTGGGATCCAATGTCAACGAGTCCTTGTTCGTTGACTTTGATATTTTCGTGATGAATCGGTGTTCGAATGTTGCACCGTCTGCATAATCAATAGATTATATACGATGCGTCGCTAAGTCTCTACAAATGTTGGCCAATCCGTGAATATTTACCATTTCTCGTGATCAGCAAATCAGCTCGATTTCTATTGAGCTTTATTTCGACGCTCGCAGCCTTAATTTTTTTGACGATACTGATGCCCGCTCTGTTCTCTAAGCAGTGAGCGACCGTCGCCAACAGCGTTATCGTAACTGCAAGATCCGTTCGATTAAATTAAAAGCGCGCCAAACGGACGATTTACAACAGCGTCAAATAGAACCTTACCGAGTGCCGAAGAGAGCTTCATTGTTCTGTCGCTGCAAGATCACTTCTGCCAATTATTTTCCCGTCTATCCGTTATATAGAGGTGAAAATTCTCTCAAAAAAAGCGTTATCACGACTGGACGCCGTGATTACGAATGATTGATAAGGGAGAGCTGCCGTTGTTGGTGCACACGTGCGCTGTGCGTTTTACGCGTGTCTCGCGATTATCTGCGATTACACGAGAACCTCATTTTTCTTTTCGCGAGCTCGTTACAAAAGTTATTGTTTATTGGAACTTTCGCTTCGGAAATTTTCCACGGTCGCGGCCGGAGAACTCTTCCGAAATGCGAAAGAAGATAGGCGCGGAAAGCAATATTACGAATTTGTTACGAGGCATGCATTATGGACATTTACACGCGATCAGCTTGCACTTTCGTCCCGACAAACATTTATATAATGCATTGTCCGATACGATAACCATAACAATATACTCTATAAATTTTACGAAATGCACGAGTATGAATGTTTTTATTTCTTTCAATTGTCTCGAATGACAAGCATCAGTTAGGGCGTTTTCAACGTTTTCAACGTATCGCTAGCGCTCGAAAAAGTCAACAATGGACAATAATAAAAACGAATGAGCAATAAAAAATGCGAATCCGCGCGAGGAATGAACAAACGAGAGATCGACGGGAGCGCGCGCATTATCGAATATAAATTTCTAAGGCGCGCGCGCCGCCGCGGCAGCGCATTACCGGGCGAGCGCCGAATATTTACAAGAATTAGCCGCTGCGGCTAACGAGTGAGCAATGGACCGCCGAGCGGCTATTAGCCTTGCCTCTGTGCGTGTCCATCGAGGCTCCTCGAATATGCAACGATCGATACAGATTTGCTCTCGCTCTCCCGTAATTATTCAATCGACGCTCTATATATCGACGTTATATTTTGAAAACAGGGTAATGATAATAATTGCTTGTATAATTTCGACATTCGCGACGGATCCATCGTGTACATTTGCGCCTTGCAGAACCGTGGCGCGTCAAGCGATTACTATTCATAGGCTTGTGTGTGTGCGCGTGCGCGCCAGCTGCTCACGGAAGAAAAGCGTACACTTGACATATCTATTTTGCACCGTAAAACTTTGCCCGTCTGATTTTACGTCCATGGGACTTGGCTACGTGAAAAAGAGTAAACAAAGAGAGAAAGCAAAAGCCAACGGCAGACGAAATAAGCCAGTAGTTTTGCGCGTGTAACAAGGTGTACTTATAAAGGAACAGTAAAAAATTCATCGAGGACAGGGAAGTCTTCGTACGTACACGTCGCAGAAGGGGGCAGGGGAAGGAGCGAAGTGCAGTAGCGCAAGAATTTTGGGTCTGCAAAAGTCGGCTGATGGAAAATTCATGGGAAACATCTGAAAGCTCGGGCGCGCAAAATCCAAAACTCGCGGCAGTGAGCGACAGAGAGCGAGCAAAGGCAAGAGGCATAACATCGATGAAAGCCGAGGCCAAAGAGCGGCTTTTTGCTTGCGCGCCTGCACAGCTTCCTACATATTTCAGGCGATTTTAATGTGTCTCTCTCCGCTCCAAGAGCCTGACTATTGCCGCGGAGGCTCTAATCGGCTTACACGTTGCAAACCACCACTAGTGAACGCCCCGATGATTACGCTCGCTTTCCCTCCTGCGGCTCTCTCTCTCTCTCTCTCTCTCTCTCTCTCTCGTCGCTTTTTGACGTACCCACGAGATATTCGCGTGATTTGTACCTTTTTGTTATCTTCCGTTGTTTAAAACCAACACATGCTCTGGTAAAAATATTTAAATTTGATAAAATGGTAAGCTGCTTATATCCTCGAGCAATTGCAAAACAAAATCAATGTTGATTCCATCAGCGTTTATAATTAAGGCTGAGCGAGTGACATTGCAGGCAAGCATCAACTTGACCCATTTAGAAAGCAACGAGGATGAAGGCCGTGGCGAGTATCCGCGTGCATTATTCAAGGCATTTCATTCTGCGAGCGGCAGCCGAGCAGCCCCACCTTTCGATCATATTTGCTCAGTGCATGTGGGTACACAAGCGGCCGCGTGCGAGGCAACAGCAGCGGCAGCAAAGGTTGCCGCGAGCCTTGCCGAGGGCCAGGATGTGCATTATTGGATCGAGTTACGTTAAACATCGAGCTCACTGCAGCGGCAATGACAAAGTACCGTCTGTCTGCTCTCGCTCGTATTCCATACCGCCGGTCATTCCACTGTGTATGTGTATCGAGTGAGTGGTAATGAAAATTGATCAACTAGGCTTTTATTTTTCCTTCCTCAGGAATTCATTTGTCGAAAAACTATTATTTCCTAGCTATTTTTTTCTGTTACACTCAACCTTTATAAAAAATATTCTGACGTCTTAACATTTCATTACAAGTATTTTCCATCTATTTGCACACGGTGCCTTACGAAATTAAAAATTCTACATTCTAACGATTATTTACAAATATTTGTTCACATAAAACATTTATCTTAGACTAAAACAGTTTTTTTCCAGGTGCCCGGTCGTCGACCTTCACTTTTTTTGTACTTCTTGGCGTTTGACTTGAAAATATTTTCCGTTTACGAGCCTAAAAAATAAAAGTTGTAACCGGTGACTAACTCTTCAATCGTATGTTACGATTACCTATTAGATAAGAAAATTGACGTACGTTTCCTTTTTTATCTTTGGCTGGTGTATTATCATTTTCCTGCTCCGAGTCGTCTTTTGGTGCATCCGATACAGAAGGGCTCAAGTGTTCAAAAACGAACTTTTTACGGCGTAAAGAGCCTACTGTAACTTTTTCATTTTCAGGTAAATTTTGTGCTATCCTCACTAATGTTTCTTCCCCTCTTGCTAAGAAAGAACCACGCATATTGGACTGCAAATAAAAGTTAAAAGAATTTTATACTTTTCCTTTTATAACTAGCTAAATGAAAAAGTGAAAAATAACTAAAAACAAATTTTACTTACAAAAGGAAAACTAGTCGCCGCCGATTTTTTTGTGAATTTCATTATATTTTTTGTAACAGTATTGCTAGAATTATCGACTGAATTGGCTTTATTCATTTTGTTTTCTCCAAACGACGCTTTATTTGCACGTATACTAACAATTTTAACGCCAGATTTAGACAGTGAACTTTCACCAAAATCATCATCCAAAACTTTACAAATATTCTGCTGCAAAAATAATATTAGTTATTAAAAAATGCAATTAGTCATTCGTAATTAAGTGGCTACGAAATCATTAGACAAATACAGTACTTGTTTTTCCTCCTGGAATTTCAGTTTTTCGTATCTCATTTTTCGCATTTGAATTTCAGCAGCAGCGTCAACTTCATCATCAATTACTTGAGGATCATCAGCATTATTAGGTTCAAAATCACTTGTACCTATATTATCTATAAATCGAATAAAAATATTTCATACATATATTAACCTTCGGCTTATTTTCAACCATAAAATAATAGTTTTTCTAATTTTTACCAATATTTTTCCATTTGAACTTCCTTTCACGACCAGCGCCATCGGAATGCAAATCTCCATCATCGAACAAGAGCTCTTGGAGCATTCTCACATTTCTTTGATCCTCGTCCATTACTTGTTTCATGTGAATGCGATCTAATTCATTTTTCATTTTTTCTTCGTCGATATCTTCAGCATCGCCTTCTTCGTATTCAAGCTTATCCAAGCCTCGCTCATCCTCATCAGCTGAATCCCAATCACTCTCACTCAGTTCGGCTTCGTTTTCAAGGAACTTCTTCGCCACTTTCTTTATCTCTTTTTTAGGCACGACAATCACTTCATTTTCTTCGGAATCATAGTCTACAAATTTCTCCTCGTCGTACTCCTTAATGTCGCTTCCTTCGTAATCGGAGAATTCTTTTAGATCGTCGTTTTCATCGTCTGATAGTTGAAGCTTCGCTACTTTCCTTTTTTTGAATACTTTTTTCTTCGACTCTTTCTCCTTTGCTTTATTGCTATCTTCGTCTTCAGACGACGAAGCTATCCTCATTCCTGCTTGCGGAAGCTTTGATTGCTCCATTCCGATTTTCGTATTTAAGGACGCCGCTTCTTGTTCTTTTGTGTCTACCATGATCTGAGAAAAACACATCGCATCAAATTAAAAATTAAACAACTACACAATGATATTTGATTTTACTATTTGAATGCAAGAGAACATTACCTCTTTGAGAAAACTGCTAGAGTTATCATCGACTGTAAGCTTGAAATTTTGCGACACTTCGTCATGGTTCATCGACTCAACATTTTCTTCCAATTTTTTCATGTCAATCGGTTGCGAAGTAAAGTCACCAGAACATAGGTCCATCAGTTGGGAATCTGTCACTTCCTTTTCTTTATGTTGAGTTTGAAGTTGCGTTGGCTTGGCATCTGCTTTTTTCAACCAAGCATCCATTGGATTTTTGAAGGTATTTTTATCAATGGAAGAAGACTTTGACGTTTTGCTAGAGTCACTGCTAAACATCGACTCGTCACTGCGTTTCAAAGATGATGATCGCTTTGATGGGCTAGTTTTAGATTCTTCGTCGTCCTCTATTGCTAAAGTTATGTCTTGAGATGTCTCATCACCAATCAATACAGTGTCATCCGGTTTCTTCGACTCAAATGCTGGAGTATCAAATGCCCCAGAACAGATCTCCATTAACTGCGAATCAGTGACACCATTTTCTGTGCTAATAGCAGGTGCTCCTGAACTTTGAGTATCCGTGAATTTACCTGAGCAAATTGCGAGTAGCTCATATTCGTTGACAGAATCGGGAGGATCTTCAAATAACTTTTTTTGTAGACTAACCATTTTCTCCATGTTACAGTTACTTTGTATTCTACTGCTGAAATACAATGAAAAAGTTTTAATGACGATATTTTGTTGTAACTGAAATATATAGCTAAATTTATTTGATCTCACCCGTTATCCGTAGGAGTATTTTGCGAAGAGATTTGACTGAGGTCAAAATTGTTTGTCCTTGAAGCTGATTTTTTTGCAGATTCGAGCGAAGTATTGAGTGCTGTAAGCTGGGCCACAGGTGAAATCATACTGAGAATATTATTTGACTTTGGAAGGGGTGTTTTGCAAACTTGACTTCGGGAGTCAGAATCACATCTTTCACGAAATTGAAAAGGTGGTATAGTCTCCACTTCGATATCTGCATTTGGATAATCACTGCTGGCCTGCGAGGCGAACATATCTTCATCTGTTTTCGCCCGCTCAAGAAATGTTTTATGGTTTGTATTATGATTCGAATTAGATTCTGATTGACTTGAATCATCATCATCAAATGCACTGATTATTCTTCTCAGTCTTTTTGGGTTCTGAGACTAACCAAATATTTACTTCATTAGAATACATTAATTTTTTGATTATTTAATAAAAGATATGGTACTCACAGGTTGAGATTCTTCTTTCTCCGATTCTGACTCTTCCTCAACTGATTCACTATTCTCTTCCTCTTCAATATCATTCTCTTCATTGACTTCATTTTCCTCATCGGCATCTACATCACTTTCTTCAGCCTTCTCATCGGCATCTACATCGCTTTCTTCAGCCTCCTCATCGCCAAACTCACACTTGCGTCTAGGTTTTTCAATAATAGGCATATCATCCTCTTCTGGCTCACTTTCTCCACTTTCTTCGTCTTCCAATAGCTCCTCTTCATCGGGCAGACCTTCGTAAAAATCATCACCCCTACATTTGAATTCCTCCTCCTCTTCTTCATATTTAGCCTCTTCTTTATGTTTCCATTCTTTCTCTCTGGCTGAAGCAATTTGAAGCATCAAATCTTTTTTTAGTTTTAATCGATCTCCAGGTTGCCTCTCTCTTTTATCGTCTTCAAGAACAGTCTTTTTGAATGGCAAAATTTCTTCGATAATTTTTATTTCATCTCCAACTCCTTCCATTCGCATAATTTTCACTTCTGCAACTTTCTCTACGGTAGCTTTGTGCGTTGGTGTATGTCGAGTTAAAAATCTATTTAACAATTTTGAAGCTCCTTCCTTGATTGGACCAGAATTTGTCAAATCGATCATGCAGCCTGGAGAACTTTTAATCATAGGCTTCAATTTTGACGCACTCGATAATATTTTTTCTTTAATGCTAAGTTCTTTATAGGTCTTAGTTTCTTCTTCTACTGATTTGTCGAAATCTGGAGCGCGGAAAAATTTAGAACTTAGCATTTTTGGATCAATTATTTCATCATCGCCTTTAATACCATCCGTTAATTTAAAAATTGGATCTTCCATATTTTTAACGTTTTCTTTATTATCGTTGCAAGTTTTTTTATTTTGATCAATTTCATTTACTGTGAATATTTCATTTGTTGTTGACTTTTCTTTTAGGCTTATTAATGATGCCTCTGTTGTCATTTCAGATTCTACATCTTTCTCCTTATTTTTATTAGATTCATCAGATTTTACACACTCACTGAATTCATGTTCAGTTTCTGACATATTTAGTTCAATGTCTTCGCTGCTGTTCTCAAGCTCAGTGATTTTTTTATATGAATTAATGTTTTCATTGCTATTTTTTCCCTCTTTTTCATTTTTTTTCTCTAATATTGATACATTCTGATTGTTTGTATCTTCATTAACATCCATATTTTCTGTATCATCCGAAAACAACTTCCTAGAAACACTTAAGTCTTTATTTTTGATTGCAGATTCAACTATAGTCAAATTTTCTTCAACTATTTGAGCTTTTGCAGATGCTTCTATAGCATCATCCACAAATAATTTTCTTGTAGCTCCAAAATCTACAGTTCTTTGTAGTAATATTTCCTTTTTATTGTGAGACTCTTGTATATCATCTTGTGTCAATTTCTGAGTAAAAAAAATCTTAATTGAATCAGGATCTTCATTATCCTGAATGTTTTTTTCAATCTTATTGTCATCATCAATCTGGTCTACTTCCATTGTTGTATCATTTTTATCATCTTCCTCGGAATCTGATGATTGGTAAAAATCTTCAGCTTCCTTTTCTTTTTCTTTAACAACTTTGCTATAAAATGAATTAAATATAAAATTAACAAATTATAAAAATGAAATAATTCAATATACAGAATACCTTATTAATTCAGGGAACATTTTAATCCTTTCAGCATTTGTAACATTTTTTGGTAAGTTTGTTGAGGTTTTCTTTCTGTTCAAAAATTCTTCTAAAGTTCGTTGTTTGGGTCTGTGATATGGTAATGATACTTGTGACTCTCGGATTAATCTTTGAGTTTCACTATGGATTTGATGCATTGCTAAGTCTTTTGAAGCTCGAGCAGAGCCCTTTTAAAATTTAAAAATATTAATTTACATAACTAATCATTACTTATGATAAATTTTATTAATAAACATTTCTTACAGTCCTCTTTTTTGCCAATTTTATCTTCCCCTTTGTAAGTTTTTCACTATCATCCTCATTGTCAGAATAATTTTTATGTATATGCTCTGAAGTTTGGTCTCTGTCACTTTCAGAATCTGAATCTACTAGGAGACTTAATTTGTTATTTTTCTGAATAAAGAAAAAAAATTATTTAAAATTATTAATAAAATTAAAAACATGATTATTATTTAAAATGTCACTAGTAATTACCTGTATAATTTTTGAATTTTCATTCCCATTGTAGTTTCTAGACTCCCCATCACTTTCAGATTCAGAGTCAATAATGGAGCTGATTTTGCTTGGTTTCTGAAAAATAAATTTATTTTACGATCCAATGTCATAATAAATATAAGTTCTATGTAAAGAAATTGAAATACTTTAGGTATATTGGACTCTTTTTTTTTACTGCTACTATCACTGTCATCATCATTATTTTTTAAAGTTTTATTGACTGAAATTATTTCTTCATCAGAATCACTATCAATTAGTTTCCTATTATTTTTCTTTTTTGAAATATTAACTTTTTGTTGAGGTTGATTATTATCATTATCAGCTTTCAAATTTTCCAATGTGGTATTTTCATCTTCAAAATCAGAGTCAATAATATTAAAATATTTTTTTTTCTTATTGCCCTTTTCATCGCTAGTCTTTTCTGGGGTGTTTTTATTATTAGTTGAGGTAAAACTAGATCTTGAAATGGGCTCATTATCATGTTCGTCGGATATAGGTTGACTATTTTTAATCGTTGATCTAGAACTTGAACTTTTTATAGATGAACAAGAATTATTATCTTCTGTCATATCGCTAGTAACACTTTGGCTGCATTTTTCTTGTGTACTTTTTTTGGATGATCTGAAACTAGACCTTGAGGCATCATCATCTGATTTATAACTTACAGACTGACTTGTTTTAGCAGGAGATCTTGAAACTGATCTTCTTATAGAAGAACAAGAATTGCTATTTTCTGTAAAATTAGAACAAGGGCTCTGGCTGCTTTTGGAAGATATTGTGTTTTGGCTGTTTTTTTGTGGAGAACTGTTTTTGCTAAAGCATCTGGAACTGGATGCATGATTGCTCTCATCTTCTGATTCGTTCACAGGACGTTGGCTTATTTGCACAGTAGATGTGGATTCTACAAATGAACATGAATTTTCATCATCATTATTGACGCTTTGGCTTCTTGATGTACAACTTGAACTGATATTTGCAACACTTAAATGATCATCCTTATTTGAAGACGTTTGACTAGATTTTAATGAACAATTGTTGGTTTCAGTATTTTGAGAACATTTGTCCATAGTTGTTTTCTGAGATTCTTTACTTTCCCCATCATTTAACTCTACACTTTTGATACTAATTGAACTTGAAGTTTGGCTATCATTTTTACATAAAATACCACTGTCATCGGACGAAAATTTTATAACAGAAGCCTCAACATTTTCAGAAGACATAGCAACAAGTGTTTCATTATTAGTTTTAGAGCAATTATCAACTGTACCGTTTTCCGACGGTACTTTTTCAACCTCTTTAATAATATTTTGAATAGCGAGTGTTGCCATGTTGTTATCAATCCATTCTTTTCATTAAACTTTATTATCAACAAGAATTTCACCTTTGAGACGCATCCACTTGTCGCGCCTTATTTACACGTAAACCAGAATTTAGCATGTTTATTCGCGCCAAATTCACAACACTGCTGCCACATTCTAGAAATATGTAGTTTTGTAATTATGGAATATAGGTATGTTCGTCGTTTCGTTTTAGGGTCTGTCTCCATAGGGCCTGCCTGAGTCCGTCCGTGCCGGCCGAGATTTTTTATGGGCACGCCATCTCTATAATTTCGTGTTCATGCGTTTCTCGTATTGGCTGCGTCCGATCGGGCTCGTTTATGTAAACGCAGCCATTCCTATGAAACTCGCCATTGGATACGAAATTATAGAGATGGCGTGCCCATAAAAAATCTCGGCCGGCTCGGACGGACTCAGGCAGGCCCTATGGAGACAGACCCTTAGGCCCCGGTCCCATAGGTATGTACACCCAACGTGGATTGAATCGCGACCCCCCCCAGTTAGGTTGGTATGAGAATTCCGTCGTTGCATTGAACGAAGAAACCGCGGGAAAATTCAAAAATGAAAATTCGTTTTAAGATACGATAAAAAGCTAAAACGTTACTAATTTGTTTTTAGGTTTAAAATTAATTGTTTGCCGAACAATGAATTTAGATGCATGATTATTTGATTTTAGGTTTTAATTATATAATTTAAGAACGAGCGTTATACTATGACCGATCTGAAAACCACCGTTACGGACTGAAAGTAGCACTCATAGTCTCATACCAACCTAACTGGGGGGGGTCGCGATTCAATCCACGTTGGGTGTACATACGTACGGATGCGGACGGGTACGGACGCGAATCGCAACTCTAGTAACATCACTAAAAATATCTAGCTCGATTATTTAGTACCAACACTACCGGTAGTGAGCAAAAGTGACTGTTTAAAACTGTAGCGCCGAACGTACCACATTTCATGAACGCCTATCTAACCTTTACATTATTGCAGTCTATAAGATGGCAAATGTTAGAGAATTGATAGACTTTCAACTACAATTAGTGTAATTAGGCCTTAATTTTATGTAAGTAGTTGAATATATGAGAAGAAGAAAATATATATAAATGATATGTATTAATCATCCCAAAAACTTTTTTTACATTAGCATACTCATCAATAAGCTATATTCATGAAAATTTGAAAAGTAAATTGTAGACCTGATATTTGAACATTAAATGTGGTACGTTCGGCGCTACAGTTTTAAACAACAGTCACTTTTACTCACTACCGGTAGTGTTGGTACTAAATAATCGAATTATATATATATATGTGTCATTTTGAATCACTTTTCTATTGAATCTTCTCACATTGACTATCGGTAAAGTAGAAATTGGTGATACTAATTCTAGGTTGTTAATGATCTCTTATTCTGTGATGTTTGTTGGAATTTGTTTAATTACACATTTTTTTTAAATAAATGAGCTCGGTATAAGGGCGTTTAGGTTGTTATTTTTGAAGTATTCTAGTTTGAGAATTGAGTTGGCGACTTTGCGATTATGTGTAACTATTGCTACTTTATTTCTGCCTGATCTGATGTATTCATCGATTGGGCCATTAGGGAATAACGGGATGATATGATTAGCAATTTGAATTGGGGTTATGAGTGTTTGGTTTAGCTCATCTTATTGTTATCAAGTTTTGCAGGTTGTACAATTATTTTGTACGGGGGGGGGGGGGGGGGGGGTAATGTCATATGGGAATTCTTCAATTTTAGGCAATTCCATTCTTTGTGATTATGAAAATTGAGTTTCTTGGGAAAATCGCGAATAATTTTTAGGATTATGATTTCTTTTAGGGAGTTTTTCAGGCAATGATGTATTGTTTTCATTTAAGAGTCTTTTATTCCTTGTTTGGTCTGATGGAGTTGACATTTCAACATCTGTTAGTTAGCTGTGGTTCAAATGATTTTTTTTGTCGTTAATACTCTTCTCAATCGGGGGCTGGGGGGCCGGAGCCGGCCGCCCCACGAGATGAGTTATTGAGGTTAAGTCCTTATTCAAAAATCGACTAAGAGAAAATTAAAAAATAGAAAAAGAAGGTGATAGTGAGAGATAGATAAGGTGTTGAAGGATAGTTGGAGGATGAATACTAAAATAATCTTACCAATAAAAACCAGACTTGATTATTGTAATGATATTAAAAGTAGAAGGTGGAATCGCATGAACGTTCAACGCGCCCCCGAGTTCGCTTTTTTTTTTCGGTATGTTCGTCATCTCAAAATGTTACTATATACTGTTTCTATTTTTGACAAATTTGAAAACTCATATTTTCAAACAATATCAACAAGTCATTGAATTATCAGCCAGAAATATGTGCATAGATTTCATAATTAAATAAATAATTAATTTCTCAGACCCTCTCTTATTTTTTATTTTCAAGTCTATAAATTTTAGTTTGGTTTTATACATCTCTATACGGTGTCAGTGTTGCTTGAGACGCTTGTGGTTATGTATTTATTTTATTAAACATTAAATTATAAACATTAAATTACGCATCGTGGAATCTTGGACTTGGAATTTTGGAAATGCCAACTATGGCGATTGCATAGAGGGCGATTGGCTATTTACATTTATAGGTTAAGTTGAAGTTGAACAACGTTAGCGGTGAAAGTATCAGGTTATCAAAAACAAGCTGGTTAATGTAAATTAACTTATATTATTGATTGTCTAACGTCGCCGATTTATTAATTGCTTAATTTATATAATAACGATTTATATATTCGCAACAACAAAATGACGAAAGGTAAACTGCATTGAAAGCAAATATAGATACTTATCATGTTGTGTGTCCATCCGATTTAGTTAATCTGTTCAATTATAATAATATCGTTCATTTGTCAACTTTTTTTCTAAATATATAATTTATTATTTATGGAGCAGCAGACGAAAACACCATGAAGAAAATTGGTGATACAAATGATACTGAAAAAAAGAGTTCACTTGAAGGAGGACCAGATCCCTCAGCTCCAATACAACGAAAAGGAGTTCTTACATCATTTTTAACTGGCAAACCCATGGAAATACCAGAACAGGATATTGTGAGTAAAATAAGAACTTTTTAAATGACATGAAATTTCACTATTGATAATAGATTGATTCACTAGAGATAATGTATAATAAACTTATAAATGATGTTTTTTAGCTTGGCAAGTGTAGGTTTGTGTCAGAATTTGAAAAACTGAATCGTATTGGTGAAGGTACTTATGGTATTGTTTATCGAGCAAGAGACACGAAGAGTGACAAAGTTGTAGCTTTAAAGAAAGTACGAATGGAACAAGAAAAAGATGGCTTACCAATTAGTGGTCTTAGAGAAATCAGTGTGCTTTTGTCTTGTAAGCATGATAATATTGTCCAGTTAAAAGAAGTTGTTGTAGGAAAAAGTTTGGAAAGTATATTCTTAGCTATGGAATATTGTGAACAAGATCTTGCGAGCCTACTTGATAACATGCAAGCACCATTTTCTGAAAGTCAAGTCAAGTGCATCATGCTCCAAGTTTTAAAAGGATTGAAATACCTACATCAAAACTTTGTTGTACATAGGGATTTGAAAGTATCCAATTTACTAATGACGGATAAAGGATGTGTCAAGATTGCAGATTTTGGTCTTGCTAGATGGTTTGGTTTACCATTGAAACCAATGACACCTAGAGTTGTAACACTCTGGTATAGAGCTCCAGAATTACTTTTACAAGCCAAAACCCAAACAACCTCAGTGGATATGTGGGCAGCTGGTTGTATTTTAGGTAAATGATTGATATCTTGTATTTTCTTAGTAATGTTAATTGAATCATTTTTCATATATCATAATTATAAAAATTTTCCTAGGTGAACTTCTAGGACATAGACCTCTGTTGCCTGGAAGGTCAGAGATTCAACAATTGGAATTAATAGTTGATTTATTAGGAACTCCTAGTGAAGCCATATGGCCTGAATTCAATGCACTACCTGCTCTACAAAATTTTACGCTCAAACAGCAACCTTATAATAATTTAAAACAAAGATTTCCTTGGTTGAGCGCTGCAGGTCTTAGGTTACTTAATTTCCTCTTCATGTATGACCCAAAGAAACGAGCTACTGCTGAAGAATGTTTACAAAGTAGTTACTTTAAGGAAGCACCTCTTCGTAAGTCATCAACAATTATCGAACTTTATCTATTTTTATAAAAATTAGCATTTTATACTATTACAAAATATTTTTAGCTTGTGATCCAAAGTTGATGCCAACTTTCCCCCAACATAGAAATCTAAAGAAAACTGCACAAAAAGACGGCCGAGAGTTAGAAGCTACTGTCAATGATCAAACAAGCAACCTGCCATCAGTCTCTGACTTGGTAATTGAAAAATAAATATAACTATAAAAAAGAAACTTTTTCAAAATATATTTACTCAAGTAACGATTTCATAATATTCACTTATTCAACTAATTACTTATTCATCTGGAATAATATTAAATGAACAGTCTTTATATTTTCATAGCAAGCATGAAATTTTATAATTTTTAAAATTTTATTTCAGCTTGGATCCCTAGTTAAGAAACGACGTGTCGAATGAGTTGAACGAGTTGCTGATTTAATTGACGATATGCTGAATTAGGAATCATGAACCGTTTGGATGTTTTGAAACTTAAATAAGATTGGCCGTAATGTTATAACTTAACGTAAAAAGTGTAAAATTTCGAAATAATTCAATTCATTCCGATTACAAAACAATTGTTTGTGTTTGTATAAAAGACATATTTTCAATAGTGTAATAATACACATTTTTATTTTACAAGTCTGAATGGTTTGTCGAAAATTTAAATTTTCCTTCCTTGTGCTTCGAAGCGCTTTTTGAATTCACCCTTAGGGTCGTACTTTTTGAGCAACCTTTCCCAGTCGGCTGGGCGTCTTTTCATCAGATGATTGATAACTTTGTCCGCAGTAGCCTTCTGTTTTTCGTTGCACTTATTGCAGCCACTGGCAAGTGCATCCGGGAGTATTCCTGAGGAAAAAAATTTTTCATTCGTAAAACGTTTCTTAATTTTAATTTTAGTAAATTCAACTATCTGCGCACGATGAGATGATTCAGTGATACATTCTATATTTGCGGTCAAAAATACGTAGTGCATATCTACATAATAGAAACCGGCTTACAAATTGAACGTGAAAGTTCAAACTGTGCGGATTATGTAACGTTCCGCGCATGACAGACAGAGAAAGTATATTGAACTTATCTCATTGGTGAAAAGCAAAGCCGTCTGGATGTGCATCAATCATCTCGCTTATATACGGCGGAAGTGTATTTATATAAATCGTGCTGTTGTAAGTTGCGACTATTATCTTTCAATACAAGCTTCAACTTGTTGAATATTTGCAATATTCAATTAGATTTATTGTGAATTCAATGCACTATCCGTGTAAGGTTAATCCGGTTTGGTTTTCACGTCACGTTATTATATAGTAGTTAGTTAATGTATGAGTAATAAAGTTAAGAGCTTGCTCAATGTAATGCTGTATATAATATTACGGTCACATCGTTCCGTTGACATTTTATAAAGCTTTACTAAAAAAACTGAAATTATAAAAAGTTGTAGATGAAGTAATAGGTATACACCAGGGAAAAAAAAGTAAAATAAAAAAAAGGAATAAAATGGCTCTAATTGCCAAGAAAAATCGGTTTAGATAAAAATGGAAGAATTATTTAAAAAAAAACAAAAAAAAAATTAGCACTGCGTTAATAGTAGATTCTTTTATTCCAAAAGATGTCTTTTGTAAAATGGTGAAGTGGCACAGTAGCGTCAAATCACAACTGCAATACTTACTCTTGAATTCACGTCCGTCGGGGGTGCAATTGCCCTCGTCGAGCATGCACTTGATATAATTACTGAGCACCCGTCCGTTCTGCAAGATTCTATCGACGTCGACGTTGTCGTACTTGTTGGTGTACTCGACGGCATCGACAGCCAGAATCAAAGCGACGCAACAGAGGACCAAGCTGCAGATTTTGCTCATGTTCGAAGCGCGCATATGAGAGGAAGAGCCGAGAGTGATATGCACGCGAGCGAGGAGGCGAGTGACCGAGCGAGCGGAGAGCGAGGAGCTCTTATATAGCAGCCGCGGAAGTGTTGACTGTTGGAGGGGTTTCTCCGCGTTGATGAAAAAGAAGAGCGCTGGCGCTCGCGCCGCTCTCGGAAGGAGCACGATCGCTGGAAAAACCAGAACCTCTCGCGGTATCGGCCGTTGCATAACGTCGCGCGAGCGTCGAGGCGGCGGCCTTTGCGCGCGTTCGTCCTGCGCCGCAACTTGCAACCTCTGCTCGGGCTGCGATATCGCCTTGGGCGTCAGATCGTGGGCTTCTCTGCGTACGCTTCATTCCACGCTGGCCCGCAACAGTCAGATCAGTGAACCTGCTCGCGACGATTGATCACCTTGCTTTGCCTCGCCGTGGGCTGTCGAGCGCACCTCTGACGTTCCAAAAATCACTTTTGGGACGAGGGGCTCGCTCTCTGCTATTAAGATCAATGCCGAGAATGTCGATATCGCGATGCCGAGCCTCGTTACGTAAACAACCTTCTACGTTATCGCCTTGTTACAAATGGGTCTCGCACCCTTGTTACGACGTAACCAGGTGACGATAGGCTTTGAGAAAATGCAAAACGTGGCGTGGTTCGTGTAGAATTTCGAGTCCTGCGAGCCGCGTCTGCAAATGCGCAAAGACGTATTTTTCCCCGAGTGCAAGGGGCAAGCTTTTTTTCCAAAAGAACCTCTGGCTGCGCAAAAAGGACTTGCGTCGAAACGCGAGAGAGACCATAAAAAGCGCGCGCCTGGGTCGACCGTTCTCGAAGGCTTTGCACAGATCGTACCCACGGTGTCGACACGGAAACTCGATTTTGCTTTTCGGCTTTAACATCCAATGAGCGATATCGGGGACCGTGGCGTATCTTTTTCCGGATCCCGGCGATTTCGAGACGTCGCGCGTGCGTGCTTCGACCATTTCATTGGTATTCGCGGCGAGCGCGCAAATTGCTCGCGTCGACGTGCATGCGACCCACTTCGTCATTGCAGGCTGAACAGATGCTCGGTCGAAAACACTTGAATCGATCGTGGCTTTACTGCTATATCGTTGAAATCCACGTCATTGAGCTCTAATGGAAAAATAGATACCACAAATGAATTAGGACGCATCCTGTGTAATAAATTGGAACAGAAACATTATTATAAAAATATTTCAAAAAGTAATGATTGCAATATGATACAATTAACTATAGTTTAAACTTATTGAAACTGTCGATCGACTTGAATTTTTTTGAAGCAAAGTAAAATCAACAGAAGTATAAAAATATTTAAAAAAAGCTTTCGCGTGGTGTTTTTATTCACCTAAAGATGAAAATAGTATTATTTGTCGCAGTGGTAGATGCAAGCCTCGAATTGCAGTTAAAAGACGTACACCAACTTATAAATAGCTTATATTTCAGAACAGCATTATTTATTTTACGCATTAAATTTACACGCAAAAAAAGTGTACGCCGTTTGAATAATCATCGTATAATTCGCATTGAATGCAAATTGGTCATCTATGTGTTATCACATTTCAATAGTTAGAATGAAAAAAACAACATTGTCGGAGTTGGCTTCAAAGCCGAATCAAATGTGGATAAACAATCGTTAGCATTGTTCCGGGCACAATAAGATAGAAAGTAAAGGTTCAAAGCAGTTTTGAATTCCAAACGGACGAACACTTGGCTCTTGAAGGCCTATATAACGGAACGATAGCACACGTCGACGAAAAATCCAGTCGACCTCCCACGGAGAGGAGCTCACTTTCGTTTCTACGCTAGGTAGGAGAAGCACAAGACAACAATAGCAGAATTAGGTGCAGTGACCGAGAGCCGACCTTTTCCTAAAACGGAATTGCGTCTGTACATTGACAGAGAGAAAAAGAGAGAGAGAGAGAGACAGTACGTACACCAATGTTCTACGTAACATTGATGTACGTACGTGAGAGCGGTTAATCGAAAAATGTGCCCGTGTGCTGTTGACGTTGGCGCTTATCGGCTCTCTCGGCGCGCCCTCGCGTATCGAAAGGTTGCAATGACGAAAGACGTGCGCGCGCGAGCGAGGTATACCTGTAGCCAACGACACAGAGAAAGCGCGACGTTTCCGAGCAGCAGAAGAGCTGCTCTCCTCGGAGAGATTACTTGTCAGTGCGTGCTCGCTGCGTCTCCCCCCCCCCCCCCCCCATCGAACGCGCATTTATACGCGTATGCACGAGCTCGCTTCTGGCTTGTGAATCAAAAACTGGTTTGCTCGCGTCTCGCTTCTCTCTCCGCGTGGCTATCGCGCGCGCACCAACTTTTCTGGCGATCCCGCGTAAGCGAGTCACGTTCGTCTCTCGAGAGCGTCAAAGCGATCGACACGTCGATGCAGCCCCCCCCCCCCCCCCCCCCCAATGCCGCAACGCTCGTTATTTTTCAAGGATCCGTGCGCTCGACGCCCGCACAAAGAGAAAGTTCGGCGGCGATAAGCCTAATTCGCCGAGAGCTTCCGCGCTGCGGCGCAGCAAGTAGTGGCGCACCGGCTAGCGTCAGACGTACCTCCGTCTACGCGTGTTCGACCATGCAGGAAAATAAAACGGCTGATTGGATTTTAATGAAAACTTTATTAGCACGTGGTACAAAACGATAAGCAACAACGTACTCGCCACTTATTCAGTATAACAACAATTAATGAGAAATTAACGACTGGCTATTACAGATAAGAATAATTTAATTAGCGGCGTTCGTACACTTGACTCAAGTTCTTAAACACTCTCTCTTTCTCTCACTTATTCTCTCTATATATATACATAGCTGCGCGCGTGTAATGTTTACCATAGAGTCAAGGACAAGAGTTGTGCGTTATGAAATTCGGTGTTTCGCTTAGACTTTCGCAGCTACAAATTCCGTTGCGCGTGTCTCATCCATAGTTTGCGTTGTGTTTATATGTATAATCGAATACGCAAATCATCAAACACAACAAAATGTTCAACATTTCAGTAATTAATATCTATAGTTAACGCGAGTATCGACACTTTTTGAAAGCTCTCTACACACGCACGTATCGAAGCAATTTTTCGAATTCGCCTGCGAACCAAACATTGACGTTCAGCGCAATCCTACGAAAGTCAACGATAGTACACGTCGTTATTATAATATAAAGATCAAAAAAACATAATATAGTATAACATTAAGGTCATTTAGTCATCAGCTGGTGAACTGCGATAGAAATTGCACGGAAAGCGAAATTTCCAAATCCAAAATCGTGAAAGCGATTATTTCCAAGAGGAGCGCGCGCCACGTATGTCCACTAGACGGCTTTTGGTTTGCCGTACATCTGGACGATCGTGATCCAGTCGTTCGGACGGTTCTTCTTCATGAAGGCTATGAGCTTCTTGGCGTTGGATGCCTCTTCCCTGGTGCACCGACGGCAGTTATTGTTCAAAGCCTCCGGTAGCAAACCTTTTAATACAACGAGTCGCATTAAAAATAATCCGTTTCGATCTCCGTCTCGTCCGACGAGACGACGGACTTTTTAGTGCGAGCTCTCTTGTCACTCGGTACAGTCGAAGCTCGTTATGGAAATCACGTCGTCCGCGTCGCTGTCGTGCACACGCCGGGAAATGCCTTTGGAAAATCCCGCAGGCTGACGCTTCGAATACGTTTTGGGCGCGCAAATCCTTCCTTATGCCGGCAGCAACGACGGTTGAACTGACCGGCAATTCGATTATACGTCAACAGACGCGTACGCGTAAGCTTGTAAATATACGTTAGATTGAGAGCGCTTATTTGGCAAACGAAGGCAACGACTGTCAATAAATAAGTAAGATGAACAATCGCAACGCGTCAATGCGATCGTGTTAACGATAACGTGTCTCGAAGGAGCTTGTACTTTATGTGATCATTGGCGGCAAGAATAAGTCGGTAAATTATCTGCAATTCGAATTGTAAGTCTTGAACTCACTACGACTGTACAACGAATTTCGACGAAACGAGCGATCGTTGAATCGGAACAAAATGAATGTCGTACCTGTGATTTGCTTGCCGATGATGTCGCAGGGCATGCGTCCGAGGACGCAGCTGATCTCCCGGGTGACGAGGATCTTATTCCGCAGCAGCAGGTCGACGTTTTGGGCGCGGACGGAGAGTGCGAGTATCAGCACCACCAGGCTAGTGGCGACGCAGGCGTGTTTCATGGTTGCCGAGGTTGGGAAGTGCAGCGAAAAGGTTCCGATAACGTATAGATACGCGACCGAACGGCTCGTGGAATCACAGTGAATCGGCTACAAGCGTATAGTGCCGGTTGCGCGTCCTGACCAAGAGTGTCCCGAGCAACCAGTCGACAGCCCTTAATATACAGGTGGCAGCTCTAATTTGCTGTAACAATCTCCGCCCCGAAGCGGTCATTTCCCGATGAAAGAGCCGCCTATAACGGTACGTTTCTGGGAAAATGCGTTTTCCTCTCTAATCGCTCTTCCGCCTTCGATTGTCGCTTAATTGTCGATCGATCTCTCGATCTACTCAACAATGCAACAATCACGGTTTAGCCGCCTAATACGAGCGCAAGCTTCGCGATATTGCTTCGTTGTACGAAAACCTTTAAATTAATTTGTTTATGCGACATGCAGCGGTTGAACAACTGTCGAACGAGCCTCATAATTATAGTCCAATCAATAGAGACAAAAAAGGCCTGTTTCGTGCAAAAATTTCACGATGGACTGTGGCGAAAATAGATTTTTTTATTCCTGCAAGCCAGAGTATGCAGTCTAGCGAAAAAAATGTCGCATAACAGTTGTGGAGAATATTAAAAGCTACAATCTGAGCCATCGCGCGATTATTTTCGTCCATTAGTTATTGCGCAAAGTGCAAATAACCCTCGAAAATGGCACTTTTTATAACATATCAAATATTTCTTGCAGAAAAGACCTTTTTCAATGTGTGTTGCTTTTAATGGGAAGCTCTTATGATTCTAAAAAAATTGCTACACAGTTTCATAATTTTATTCGTTGTCGATTTATTCTTATTAGTTTATTAAAAGACGCCCAAAGTACGAAGCTGTAATTTCTTTTTGGCCGAAGGTATCGATTTGCAAGACAACCCAAGCTCTTCGTTAATACATCAATTTCAACAAATTCAACAAATATAAGCCAATGAAAAAATTGAATTTTAACTATATTTTCGTTCGATTCTTAATAATTTCAATAACCATAAAACCCAACCCAGGTATATAAGCTATTTGACAGTCGGCTCTGACAAAGATCAGGCCAACAGATAAAATGATCTATATTTTGTCTTATTATTTGTAGTAACTTCAAATTTTATTGAAAATGCTGTATATCGTACATATGTGTGAACGATTATTTTCTTTTTTCCCGCCTTTATTCCAGGTAAAAACAAGCCAAGGTGACGAATGCGCGGCGCGCCGCGCGCGTCTCGTCTCTTATATTTATACTTTATAAGATTCAGATATATAACAAACCCACAAGAAGCGCGCCATATACGATAAATAAACACGGTACTCATCAATTGTACAATTTTTTGGATATTTCATTTACGTTCATAAAATCAATTACAGATTCTTTATTTTTATGGTGATTACGCTCGATACTTTTACATTACCTCCAAACTGATATTTTCAAATACAAATTAAGTACATATTCTGTACTGTAGTTCATACTTGATCCGTAAACAAAACAGATATAACCTCTTTGATATTTCAAAAATTGTGTGCACTTTTGTGAATTACATGTTGTACTTGACATTTTCAGTGTGTGAACGTCAGTTTCTAATTATTATCATTTAGCATAAATCAAGATGGAAAACTTACCAGAAGAGAACAATCTATCCTTTTCGTTTACTTTTGATAATGTGGATCTGGGTAGTGTTGACAGTGACGATTCATTGGATTCAGAAACCACTGGATTGCAAATTGATGTCTCAGAAGTTGATCATTTTGATGATAATGATAAATTAAAGCGACAGGAAGTAGATGAGACATTCTTTATAAATGAAATGGAAGAAGAAATTGAAAGACAGTTGGATGCTAAAGCAGCTAAAACGAAACTGACTGCTACTAATGTTAAAAACATTCTAAAACATGTCATTTCAAATGAACATGTTATGGCAATGGTTCATAAAAAGTTAACAAAAGGAGATAACGATATGGTTTTTGAACCAAAGCTTACTAGAGCAAAAGCTAAGTATGTATTTTCAATTTATGTATCCCTAGAAATAATTTTCTCACAGTTCAAGTTATTTTATATTTATAAAATTATATATTTAATATTTTTTGGTCATAGAGAGTTAGCAATGAATCAACCCGATGTCCAGTGGCCAATTACACCTATGAAAAATTCAACTACTTCAGAAGCTAAGATATTAATAGAAAAAGATTATTCAGAAGATTCATCTGACGAGGAATATCATCCTGATCAAGATCAACAAAGTGACGATGAAAAAGATATTGATGGCTCTACAGGAAATGATATAGATTCTATGCCATCAATACCAGCAACATGTGGAGATTTATCTTCGTGCCTGGAAATTAAAGATACATCTGAAGTGCAATATGATGCAGGAGTCTTTAAAGTACCACAAAAGTAAGTAAATTATTTATGATTTTATTTATGATGTTCTTTGATTTTATTATTAATTTGCAATTATCACAGTACTCTACATATACCAACTGACAAAGAAAGTATAGTGCATAGAACTCGTTCAAAACTTTCATTGAAAGAAACACCTGTAGAGCAAATAGAGCAAGCTTTCATTCCTCCAGATATTACAACTGATATGTATGATTGGAATGAACCAGGTGATGAATATATAGATTTCTTAAAGGAATTATATACACAGCCTCTTCCAAAAGAGATTACTATTGAGGATGATCCTGAAGCAGATCCCGAGTATAATATATTAGAGGATGAAGACACAGAATTATGTATGTATTTTTTTAATTTTAAATTATAATAGTTATTAATATTGCAATAACATTCACAAAATATTCTAGTGGATAAAGAAGAATTAAGAGAAGACAGAGCAGTTAAAATTTCAAAGAAAGAACTGAAAACTCTCATGGCCGAACTTGATGAATTTGCTGATCAATATAGTCGACAACAAGAACAACAACATGAACAACAACAGCAACAATTACAGCAACAACAAATTCAATCTCAATTACAACTGTCAATACAACAATCACCAGAATTACAAAAACAAAAGAAAAGAAAAACTCCCGACAATTCATTTGAATTAGTAGTGCAGGATCCACCACGAGTAAGTTAACAAGTACTTAATAATTCTTCAGAAGAAAAACCAAATTAGTTTTCTCATTTTTTTTATTCTTTGTATTTCTATTTTCAGACAAACACTATGATTGAACTGATACCAGTGTTAGCAGAACCAGAATTACCAAAACTTGTTAATCCTAATCAATTATACCTATTATCTATTCAACTTTCTCAGCATGTTCAATTGTTGACTCAGCAATTTCTTATGACTTATAAGCATCCTAAATTACATACTGTGGCGACTGAAAGCAGAAGTTACTTGAATTCTTTGAAGTACTGAATATAATTATTTCAATAATCTTCTAATGTTTCTGTTGCAATGAAATTTTTTTTTTCATTGCAGACATTTGGCTTGGGGTGAAAGTTCCGAATTCAATGCTCAAAATTTGGCCGATTCTTTGGCATTAGTCTCAGATTGGGAATCAAGATTAAGTGATCCAGATTTTTCTGAGGAATATAGTCATTTTATAACTTATCAAGTAGAAATGGAGAAGACATATTCCAAAGCTAGAAAAAAATACAAACCTGTTTTTCATGTGGAGTTAGTCAAAATAATGGCTAATAGCAAAGCGTTAATGCATCCCCAATTACTGCCAGACGTATTCCCTAACAGTTTCTACACTAAGAAAGAAAATCTTATTACAAAGTTCGACAGAAAAAAAATTAACTATCCGTATTTACCGGCTGAAGAACAGTGTGTAACTTTACTATTGTCTCTTTTTATTGTTACATGAAATTGAGATAATTTAAAAAGCTTTTTTCATTTTTAGTCTTATAGCTCTGGGACTGGAACAATTTTTACCGCACGTTCAATTAATAAAAAAGAAATTCAATAGAAACTGTCATAAAACTGCTGATGCAGTGAAAGAAATAAAGAAATATTTATTGCCTACCCGTGATGTGATGGGCATAATGCGTCATATAAATAAACGTAGACTTTGTAAGGAACCTAATCCTATCAAGGTATTAAGACTGTATTTTATAATAGCCAATGCTTTTATATTTTTATAGCTTTTTTTATCCAATATTATTTTCAGTATTATTATACTCATAGATCAGCCCCAAGAACACAACATTGTTTATTAAGTGAATATAATGCAATAGCTCCAAGAGACCAACCAACTGATTTTTTATCTCCAGTTTGGCAATTATTTATAAAAGAGGTAAGTTATAAAATCATTATCATTTATTTGTTAAACAATTATTTAAAACATAACTTTCTGAAATATTAAAATTACAGTTGGAAAGTGAAAACAGTGAAGAATTTACGGCATTAATGTATTCTAGTAAAACACAAAGTAAAAAAGATGACTTTTTTACAGTTTCTGTAGATGACATTTTAAATCAGAGTGAGCCAGAAGTCATCTCTCATGAATTGAGGAATCCCATTGTCAACATGTTACACATGCCTCCATTGGTAACACCACAAAAAGATGATGCAGCTACTTCATCTACGAGATGTAGCTCTACAAAAATAAAAACAATTCAATCAAAACCAAGTGAGGCTGAATCTGATGTGGAGTCGGCTGAAAGCGTAAAAACTTGTGAAACTGATGAAGAAGAATCAAGACCTACTCGTTTGAGAATGACAACTCCACGATTGGCCAAAATTAAAAGTGCACAAAATATGAAATTATTAGCTCAAACATTATCTTCAAAGGGCTCAACTTCAATCACTCATTCTAATGAAAATAAAGAAGATAGCCTTGATAAGAACGACGACGATGCTTCGTCATTTACAAAAGGAGTAAGACTCGTAATGTAATTTTTAATTTATTTACTATTCTTCTTTTTATTATTGTGTTTTTGAATTTATTTAGGATAACGAAGATGAAATTGCTGAACTGATGTTAGCTAGTACTACAATAAAAAAGAATGCAACAAGTCGAAAGAAAACAAAACAAGCAAGAGAATTAGAAAACTTGAAAAGATTACTGGAAGCTGAAAACAATATAAATGAAGAAGAAAGAGCGACGAGTAAGTCTTTGCGTTATTACAACTCATAATTATCCTGTACTGTAATATAAGAAAATATAATGCTTTGTTTTCAACAGAATTTGCAACTTCTTTTCTACAAAAAATTCATCTCAAATTGGAATCAAAAGATCCAGAGTTATTCAAGACAGTATTGAAAATATTTTTGGATTACAGTGAAAAAATAGAAAATTCGCCTGAAACGAGTTCAGATTATTTACAAAATAAAAGTCTTTCGTCCCAAATCATAGAAAAGAATGACGAATACAAAGACAAAATTTCAGTTGAGCTTTATCAAGAAGTCTGTGATAAGTTGTATGAATATCCAGATTTATGCTCTGATTTTCTGTTATTTTTAACGCCGAATCAGGCAGCTTTAATTGACAAATCCGTGGAGCATACAATGATGCTAAAAATGAAAGAATTCATCAATGTCACTCAAATGTATTTCGCAAAGCAACCATCACGTATAGCAAAAGTTATGCAGGCAATAACCCAAATGGCTTCCGATCCCTATATAACAGTGGAAAGTGCCCAGACTATCATGGGTACAGCATTGAAGGGGCACCCTTTGATCATGGATATGTTTCAACAAGTTATACCTACAGGAAAACCACCAGACACGTAAGTCTCAGTATTGAAAATCATTATTATAGTAACAAAATAAAATTATTTTTTTATTTCAATTTTAATTTCTGGAACAGTTTGTTTGCTGCACATATGTTTGAAAATTTAACATGTCCTGTCGGTCCGCATGACAAAAATAAAACCTACGACGTAGATGCTCCAGAATTATATGAAAATATTGAACTACCAGTTTCTACACCCCAAGAAGATCCTTATGGAGGAGATAGTTGTAAATGTGAATGCCACAGTATCGTGGATGATACGAAATTGAAAGGAATAAACGAACACTGCGCTTCATGTGGTACCCGGGTAAATGGAAAAATTTTTATTTCTGTGATGTCATAAGATATGTCACGTATTTGTTCTTCATTTATATAATTTTTAGTTTTTGAATGGGAGAATATATTTGCAAACATCAGAAGGTTTGAGGCCTGCTAAAATAACGTTTCCTGGTGCCGATGATGAGAAGCTGGAAAACATCTCACGGGTTTCACTAAAAACAAACGAAAAAATAGTTCCTTGTCCACCAGAAAAAAAACGAAGAAAATCTTCCAAACGTGATTCTATATCAGAAGAATCTGCTATTAAAGGCTTTTCAACAAAAATTTCACCTTTAAAAGAAAATGAGGATAGTGATAGATCGAAATCGAGAAAAAGTACAAAATCTCCAACTAAGTCTACAGAGACTAAAAAACTTTCGAAAGTACAGTCGAATCCTGTTAAAATTAAAAGAGAAAAGAAGACTGATAAAAAAGTTAAAAGTGATTTCAAGACTGAAGATGATCAAAATGAAGACTGCGCGAATATAGAGCAAACGGAATTTGAAGAAGGAAGTGCGAGCAACACAAACGATGATTATTCAGAAGATATATGTAAGTAGATATTATGCTTCAATACAAAATAATAATAAACTGAAATTAATATTCTGTTGCTTAATTTTTTTATTCTTTAGTTGGTAGTAAATTAGGAGAATTAAGTACTGATAGCCACGAAGATGATACTTCGATTAGCCCTGAAAAGGTTGAACATTTTTCAACGGGCATCCGAAAAATAGAAGCTTCAAGTGACTCTGATAATAGCACGACTGTCGATGCTGAAAAAACTTGTTCTGACTTACCATGGACAATGCAGGACGATAAGGTATTGTTGGAACATGTTCAGAAAGACTATTCCGAAAAAACTTTTTACACAGTCAGTTTAATATTGAAAAATCGAAGCGTTGAACAGGTAACGAATAATATTCCGTATAATAGCAACAATGTATGACGGATTTAAAATTTTAATTATTTTATTTTTAGGTAAAAGAACGTTGCCAATACCTACTGTCGTTAATTGAAAAAATGGTGTGATTCGTTTTCTTTTCACACCCGCTTTGTAAAAAATGGTTTATATAGTGTATATAATTAAATGAAAAATGTATATTTTAAAATTTAAGTTTTAATTTATTCAATAATAATAGCTTATAAACTTTAACGACGCTTATTTCCGTAACGAGTTAGTCTTACAATTAAATTATAGGAAAATCCAATTGTATTTGTTCATCACTGTAATGAAATAGTGTTATGTACATTTCGGATGCACTTGAATGTGAATTATTGTAACCCAGTCTTATGGTAGGTTTACATTGCAGGAAACGTTGTTTACAATGTCAAATCTAATGTAAATGTGCTATTTTAGCTATGGTCGTACAATAATAATTCATTGATTTACTTTTTTGTTATCGAATTTATTTAATTGTAAATGATTTGCTATTCTTCACAATAAGAATATTTTATAAAAACCTGGCTTTAAAATAAAAAATATTTTCATATATTTGTTACTTTTATTTAATTATTGATTTTCATAACGAGAACGTTATAGAAAAGACAAGGTTCTTATAAAATTTATTTAAAGTATAAAATCATTCTTAATATAGTAATAATGTACATTGATTTAGTTCAGTTTCCAATAGACGGTTAAACTTCGTAATTGATATTTTGTTTACTTTTTAAATTTATCTAATTAATCAAACTTTCGTTTTTATATAAAATTATAATTAAATACTTGCAAAGGTCTGTACACGAAGTAAGTATAGACGATAGACACGCATGTATTTACAATTGTATATTAAACTATTAGTTGCATACTTAATAAATGTATGGAAAAAACAAAACTAATATTTTGGAAAAATAATATTTTCAAGAGAATAGTAATTAATTAATAGCAATGAACTAACTTGGTAGTCACAGTACATTAAAAGAAAGAAAAAGGTACAACATAATTTGGATATTACATCAATTAAAAAACTTCCATATCTACTTCAACTCCAATATCAAGAAAATCGTCGCCGTAATCTTGAACATGCCTTGAACAAGCTGGGTTGGGTTGTTCAGAGTGATCAGGATCATCTGTTACTGGACTTGGTGGAGGATTGGAAACTGTAAGGTCTGAATCAACTTGAATCCTATCCATTCCTTCTCCTCTTCTCAAGCGTGCTTCTTCCGCTATTTGCCGTGTTGAAAGTTCTGCCCGAGTCAGTAGCGCTGGTAAGTCTTTGTCTGAACCATCTGTAAAACAATAGTTTCAATTTAAAATAAACCATTTTCCAAGATAACGGTGAAGTCAATTCAATTCCCCACATACTTTCTAAAAGTTTCATGAGCTCTTGCGTTTTCTGTTTCCTGTGCGTTGACTCTATCATCTTCTTCCTTTCTGTTGTCTCCTTTTTATCTTGGTAAAATATTTCTCTAATTTTCGGTTGTGGAATGTGATCGTCATTTTTAACAAGAAAAAGGTAAATTCCTCCAGGTGTTCTTCTTCTAGAACCATTCATAATAAGCATTCCACCTTCTTCCTCGATTTTTTTTGTTTTTTGGAAAAAATCAATAGCCTCTTCTTTTCCCAAAATTTCAACTACCCTTCCTAAAAATCATTAAAAAGTATTGAATATAGTACTAAAAATGTACAGGTGTAACAGTAATTAGATAAAATAAACTTACTGATAAGAACATCTTTTTTCTCAGATAGCTTATTAGCAATATCAGCAGCAACTTCATCATCAGTTGACGCAGTCGTTGCAGTCAACTCCGGTAGTATTCTAGCAGAGCCTTTAGGATCTTCTTCATCTTCGTGGCTTTGTCTTCTCTTACTCAATCTCAATTTAATATTTCGCCTATCACTAAATGTCCGTTTATTTGTCAGTCTTGTTTCGATTTCTTGTTCTTCATCAGAAGTATTGTTGTCTTGATTTTTTTTGCTACCACGAGAGTATCCAAGAGTATAATCATAGCTTTCCACACTGCGGTCATGATATATGTTCCTTGTTACACCACAGGAGACTAAATCTTCTGTTAATGATTCTTCTTGCACTTGTGTACACCATACCTTGTATTTATCGTTGTTAGGTCTAAACTGTTGAATTGCTGCTTTACATCGTTTTATTTTGATTTTGGGTCTTTTGACTCTACTGTGACCAGCATCTGAATCTGAATCACTTTCAGAGGCATCAGAGGCATCAGAGGCATCAGATTCATCACTGTATCTTAGTTTATTGGATTGATCAGCAGTGGGAGGAACATGGCTGTGAGGTCGTTGTAAGACATTGTATGTTTCAAAAGCATCAATAGGCTGAAAAATAACATTTGTTACATAGGTAAAATAAGACATCAAGATAGAACAATAACGTTTTTACTAAACTTTCATCACATCTGACATAACCATACGTTGGTTAAAATGATAATTTTCAATTTCTTTAGGTAATTCTGTTAAAAATTCTTTTGTAATAATTTACTATTAAAACTTAATATAGACTTTTATCAAAAACTGGAATTTTAACTATTTTCATAACATAACATATTGATAAATAAAATCCAAATCAACTAATATTATTTGATTGTATCATAACCCGTCTCAAAGTTTAATAAAATAATTACAATGAAAAAACCTTCAGTGATGCAGGTTATGTGGATTTTGTGTCAAAAGTATCTACCTCGTCGTCGACGACTTCTCCGTCTTCAAGCTCCAGAGATTCCGTTTCCATTATAAATCAACGAGTACAACGAAACAATATCTATAAGTAATATCTGTTGAACTGAAGAAATTAACTGACAATAATTGTAAAACACAATTGTATTAAAATTAAAGATTGAACATTAAGCTGTTGCCCGTGGTCGTTTTCTCCTTTCTTTCTACCATTTGCGTTTCGTTGCTACTACAGCAGCCGTTTTCGTATGACAAATTTCTGCAAACGCGACTAGACGCAGTCGCAGACGCTTTCTGCTAGAAAATGTTGACATGTTGGCTCTACTGATATTAGGATTTGAATAATATTTTTTACTTGATTTATTTATTATAACTGATTCTACATTCGTTTACAATTAAAAAAAAATTTGTTTTATTAAGTTTTTCTTTTTAAACATATTAAACGAACAAGTACTTTTTAAATTTATCAATTTCACATTAGGGTTTGTCAAAATATGAAACCTATAAATTATATTTTTTATAAAGATTTTAAAAAATATGTAGAAGTGTTTATTTTGAAAATTTGAGATTAGCGAATGAAACTGCATGGTACCAACTACACGTTCAATGGTGTGATATATGTACAGTACTTACTAGAGATGAGCGATTTTAATCGATGTTTAATAATTGTCCGATTATTTTCGTACATAATCGATTATCGAGTCGATTATTTAAGCCACCGATTAATGGTGGTTCGATTCATTTTTAACTCGTAATCGAAATCGAAGTAAAATTTCGCGTGTGCGACAAAAATTATTTTGAATTTATAAGCTACGGAAGACTAGTCAATTAAATCCCAACCCACCCCGGTGACATTGAAAAATCAAAGATATTCAATTAATTATTCAATTAATTATGTGTGACTATAATTTTGGTTTTATTTTTAATATAATAAATTTTATGATCATTTCTATTTTAAGAAGTAGTAAGTAAAAAAAATGTTTATTTTATTATAGTATTCTGAATATAATTTAACTGAATTTAATATACATCAAGCTTCAACGAGTTTTATTTTACTAATGAATTTTTTTAACGTCTAGGATGAGTATCAAATTACTGGAAACAATGAAAATATTAAAATATCTGAATAAGACGATATTCACTAATAAAAATGAAAAACAACAGTTAGGAAAACAAAAAGACAAAGATAAATCTCGCTGGAAATTATGCAAAAGCCAGTGTTTAAGCTTATCACGTGTTGTAAATGATCATTTATAGATAATTTGAAAAAAGTGAAAAAACTTGAAATTTCAAAAAAATTGACCAAAAGTTGAAAAATCTTGAAATTTCGAAAACTTTACGAAGAAAGTGAAAAATTGAAAAACTGGGTTATTGGGTTATTGGGTTATAGATAATTTGAAGAAAGTGAAGAATCTTGAAATTTCGAAAGACTGACCAGAAGTTGAAAAATCATGAAATTTCGTAAAATTAACGAAGAAAGTGAAACATCTTTATTTCGAAAAATTGACGAAGAAAGTGAAAAATCATGAAAGATTGAAAAACTGGGTTGGGTTGGGTTGTTGGATTATTGGGTTATTGGGTTATACATAATTTGAAGAAAGTGAAAAATCTTGAAATTTTGAAATATTGACCAAAAGTTGAAAAATCATGAAATTTCGTCAATTTAACGTAAAATGTAAAAAATCTTGTATTTCGAAAAATTGACGAAGAAAGTGAAAAATCTTGAAATTTCGAAAGATTGACCAAAAGTTAAAAAATCATGATATTTCGAAAACTTTACGAAGAAAGTGAAAAATCATGAAAAATTGAATAATTGGGTTGGGTTATTGGGTTATAGATGAATTAAAGAAAGTGAAAAATCTTGAAAATTCGAAAAATCTTGAAATTTCGTAAAATTAACGTAAAATGTAAAAAATCTTGAAATTTCGAAAAATTAACCACACGTTGAAAAATCTTGAAATTTCGAAAAATTGACGAAGAAAGTGAAAAATCTTGAAAATTCGAAAAATTGACCAAAAGTTGAAAAATCTTGAAATTTCGTAAAATTAACGTAAAATGTAAAAAATCTTGAAATTTCGAAAAATTAACCACACGTTGAAAAATCTTGAAATTTCGAAAAATTAACCACACGTTGAAAAATCTTGAAATTTCGAAAAATTGACGAAGAAAGTGAAAAATCATGAAAGATAAAAATATTGGGTTATGTTATTATTGGGTTGGGTTATTGACGGGTAAAATGTCTAGGGACGTAGTAAATCACACAAAAACTAAAACTGAGCGTAAAAAAAAGTTAAATTTCTTTATTTCTTAATGCGCTAATAAACCGAAGAAGATTTTTTTCTCTATTTCTTTATTTTGACTTTATTTTCGTATTCTTGGATACAAAAGTTTACAACCATCCACACTAAGTAAAACATTGAAGGTAATAAAAAAATATTTTATTTAAAAATGTTTAGACATTGATTATGACATTAATACTTTATAAATTTGTCACAAAAGATGGGTACAAATATAGGTATTCGTTTGAATGAGAGCCTTATATCGGCTTTAAAAAGTGAAGAAAATCTTGGACCCAATCGTCCTATTATTGGATTTTTAAGGTGAATTATTTTAATATATTTGATAAGTTTTTATTATGTAAATAAAGTCTGCAGTGAGTAAAAAGCTCAACAATTAATCATTTTCCGATCAATAATACTAATAATTGAGGATAATAGCGACATCCCATGTGAAAGCGTATTTAGGTTTCGAAGGACGTAGTTTAGCAACTCCTTTGCAAAATCTGGAAATGTGCTCTCGTCTGCTCCAATCTTGTTGTCCGAAATCAAGGAAAGTGCCGATCTATCTGAATGGACAGTCCCATAACTTATTCCATCCTTGTATCTGTCCGTTAAGAAACGTAAAACAGAATTCTTATTTGATTTGTATGCATCGAAGTCATGGCATTCGTAGAATTTAAACCATTTATTGTAGACCACATTGTACTGCACTGATGTTGACTTGGAGACCGAGGCTGCCATAATATCCGCCGCTTCCAGAAAAATGCCATTCATAATGTAAGCTGTCCTGATATTTTTGCGGCTATCATAGACAGAGTTGTCGCTCTTGGATGAGGAATCGTCCTACAAGGCGACAATAACAGATCAGGTCTAGGTTTGAAAACAATTTTCTCCTCTTCTCAGAAGGGGAACTACATTGCAATATCTTCGTACTAGATGGAATGTAATTGAAGGTTATGATACGTTTGTTCCGGGAGTAAGTGTATTCGTTTGGGTCATGCGAGGAATAGTAGTAACTTTCTGTTGTTGGCACTATCAAAATTTTTAGCGATTTGTACGCGTTTGTATCTCGTACACGCGCGTATGCGCATATGTGGCGAGGGCCTGAACTTGAACTATGGCTCTGGATGTGAAGGTATTTTTTCAAAATTTTTATGTATTATTAGTAATGCGTAATAATTATCCAATTACATTTCATGTAGAAATGTTGTTAGGAAAATGTCCCATTTTGATTTATTATTTATTATTTATGCAGCACTTAAATTCCGAAAAGAAATTTAATCGGCTTCCAGAAGACATCAGACCTTCACATTATGAAATTTCTATTTCTCCAGATTTGAACAGTTTCACATTCAGTGGTAAACAAGATGTTTTTGTAAATGCAAGTTCAATGACATTTATAGTATGAAGTGTTTTTTGCATTTATTTTTATATATATTATTCATTACTGTTTTAGGTTGTAAAATCAACGAAAACAGTGGTTTTAAACTCAGTCGACATAAATATAAAGACTGTATTTTTTAGTGATAATTCTTCACACATTTTACAGTCTCAGAATATAACATATGATGTTTCAGAAGAGAAAGTTATAATTACTTTTGACAATGAAATTTCAGAAGGTAAACATGGATATTTACATTTTGAGTTTGATGGAATAATTAATGAAAAGTTGAATGGACTTTATCGCAGTAAATATTTAAGGTACCTTTTTTGAATAAATGAAGAATTATTGTTTTTTAAATTAACTTTATAATATTTTATAAATTGTAGTGATCAATTTGTTAAATATGCAGCAGTTACACAGTTTGCTCCAATCGATGCACGGAGGTGTTTTCCTTGTTGGGATGAGCCAGCAATTAAAGCAACTTTTAGCATATCTTTAACAATTGCAGAAGGTTATAATGCCATTTCTAATATGGTATTTGATTTATATTATTTAATATATATTTATCAAAAATTTATCTTTTCACCTTAGTATTTATGCAAACTTATCATTTTCAGCCTGTAAAATCAATTAGTAAACATGAATCTAATTTAGTATCAATAAGTTTTGAAAAAACACCGATAATGTCAACTTACTTAGTCGCGTTTATAGTTTTTGATTACCATTTTGTTGAAAAACACAGTAATAAGACTATTCGCGTTTACGCTCCTAAAGATAAAATAGAACAATGCAAATTTAGTCTTGACATTGCTACCAAGTCATTAACCTTTTACGAATCCTATTTTGGTATTTCATATCCACTTACAAAATTAGATTTGGTAACAGTAGCTGACTTTAGTTTTGGAGCAATGGAGAATTGGGGACTGATTACATATAGAGAAGCTATACTACTGGTTGATCCTAAAAATAGTTCTGCATTAAAAAAACAACAAGCTGCTTTAACTATTGCTCATGAAGTAGCTCATCAGTGGTTTGGAAATTTGGTAACTATGGAATGGTGGACTCATTTATGGCTAAATGAAGGGTATGCTTCTTTCATGGAATATTTGTGCATAGATAATCTTTTCCCAGAGTATGATATCTGGAGTGAATTTTTAATTGGTACTTATATAAAAGCTTTAGAACTTGATGCCTTAGCAAATACTCATCCAATTGAAGTTCCCATTGAAAATCCTTCAGAAATAAATGAGATATTTGATACAATTTCATACAACAAAGGAGCAAGTGTGATAAGAATGATTTATAATTATATTGGAGATAATGATTTTCGAAAAGGAATGCACATATATCTTGAAAAACATTCGTATGGAAATGTAAAAACTGAAGATTTATGGTCTGCATTAGGACAAGCTAGTAATAAGCCTATTGATAAAATAATGATAACTTGGACAAAAACAGCAGGTTTTCCACTTGTTTCTGTGATTGAAAAAAAGTCAAATAACTCAGAGAACCGAATATTCTCATTTTCTCAAGAAAGATTTTCTAGAAATGGTTCAGTATGCCAAGATGATAGTAATTGGAATATCCCAATAACAATAAGTAGTGGATCAGATTCAAAAAAAGTTTTGGACTTAGTACTTTTAGATAAAAAAAATAAAGATATAGAAATTAAAAATATTTCAAAAGAAACATGGATTAAAGTTAATGTAGAAACTGTCGGTTTTTTCAGAGTATTGTATCATGAAAATTTGTTAAAAATCTTAATACCTGCACTACAGAATCAAAGTCTATCAGCTTATGATCGTTTTGGATTATTAGATGATCTATTTGCTACATCTCAAGCTGGGAAAACATCAACTGTTGTATTTTTAAATCTTTTAAAAGAGTTCAAAAATGAAAGTAATTACATAGTTTGGTACTGCATTGTTAATAATTTACAAAAAGTAGATAACATTTTATCACACCTTGAAAATATTAATGGTAAATTCAAAGCGTTTGGGAAAAATATTTTATTTAATATCTTTTCTAAAGTTGGATGGCAAGAAGCACAAAATGAAACTCATTTAGACTCACTATTAAGGTAAGAAAATCTGATAGATTTGAGAAGAAATTTAAAAAATACATAAATATAATATTTTTCTAATTTATAGAATTTTAGTTTTATCTCAAATGGCTAGTTTCAAAGATGAAAGTGTTATTCTTGAAGCGCAGCGTCGTTTCCAAATGCATATTACGAAACAGGCCAGTATATCTCCCGATTTTCGTAGCTTTATTTACCATGCAGTAATGTCTGCGGGTAATTTAGATACATTTGAGAAAATGTTAACTCTTTATAGAGAAACCGAAATGCACGAGGAGCGAAATCGTATTTTAAGTTCTCTTGGTGCTATAAAAGATATAAATATTCTTAAAAAAGTACTTGATTTTTCCACAAGCAACGAAGTTCGACCACAAGATGTACCTCGAGTTCTTAGGTCTGTGTCAACCAATCCTTGTGGCAGAATACTCGCATGGGAGTATTTTAAAAATAATTGGAAAACATTCGTGGCACGATATCAAAGTGGAATTTTACTCATAACTATAGTGAAAGAAGTAACACAGAATATAATGACAAAAGAAACGATAAAAGATATAACAGAGTTTTTCGAAAATAATCCGATAGTTGGAATTGAAAGAACAGTTCAGCAAAGTATTGAAACTATTAAATTAAATATTGCTTGGTTAAATAGGGATAAAGATTTGATAGATAATTTTTTAAATGAAAATGATTAATTGTTGAGCTTTTTACTCACTGCAGACTTTATTTACATAATAAAAACTTATCAAATATATTAAAATAATTCACCTTAAAAATCCAATAATAGGACGATTGGGTCCAAGATTTTCTTCACTTTTTAAAGCCGATATAAGGCTCTCATTCAAACGAATACCTATATTTGTACCCATCTTTTGTGACAAATTTATAAAGTATTAATGTCATAATCAATGTCTAAACATTTTTAAATAAAATATTTTTTTATTACCTCCAATGTTTTACTTAGTGTGGATGGTTGTAAACTTCCATAGCCTATTTTAATTATAGAAGATATTTTTCCATTTGGCATAACTGAAATAACTGTACTGGCACTACTGCACATCTCTTCTTCAGATGATGGATCAACTACACAATTGTCTCCTATCTATGAAATTTAAAGTTAATAAAAATCATAGCAAATAAATTTTCAATTTTGGTAACAAAAAATTTACCTTGCATAAAGTAACAAGTAATGGACAATTTGTAGTATTTAATTTTATACTTTCATATATATCATCAGACAGTGCAATATCAGCTTCACCACCATCTAGTGTCGCAGCTTTTACTTTAGGAATTTCTGTACTGAATAGAGCTGCTTTAACAGCTAACGCAACTGCATCGAACAAATTACCTCCACATTCAAGAATCTAATTGACAAAAAAAGAAAGAAAAAGATTTTATAAAATTGATTTATAACTGTTATTAAACAATATAATCTGCTTACTAAAATATCTACAAAGAGCTTCCAACATTTTTTATGAGGCAGTATAGAAAGTTGGGACAAATCCAATGCTTCAGGTGATTGATAAGCTAGTGCAAGAACATTACTGATTTCATTTGCTAAATCTTCACCACCTTTTCCTTCAAAAATTGGTGTAGCATTTGCTGAACTATAAATATTTCATAATATTTTCCATATGAAACATTTTAGGAATAATTATAAAAATCAAAAATTTCAAACTAATCTTATTAAGTTATTTGTAGAATAAGTAATGCAAAATATTTACCAATCAACAAAAAATTCAATTTTTCCTTCATAAGGATTATCTGGATAAGGTGTATCAATTTCTACTTTGACTCCCACAAGAACGTCGGTATTTCCAATTCGTATCCTAGAAGACCCATGAACTTGATCCATTAATTTTGTTTCCAACTCCATAGATCGATAATCTATACGGCATCGACCGTCATTTCGAAAATTAGCCTACATAAAATGATATATATTTTTTAAGTCAAACTTTTCGTGAAGTTATAATTTGTATACATTTATTAAATCAATGCACGTACGTCTACACCGTGAAGTATAAACGTTTTTTCTGCTAAACTCAATGGTATTTCTGCCATTCTTTATCATTTAACTTCTTTTTAAATATTAATTAACTTGAATTTCAAACATGAGCTACACTTAACCTCTTTAAAAACACATGATTATCACATATTTAAAATAAATTTGTAGATACTGATTGCAATTTTATTTTGAAATAATATTTTAATATGATGTAATGTAAATAGTTGTTGTTATCTCTTAAGTGTTTAAAATAATTGATTAAATATTGAATATGCCAACAAAGTTTACATGATTGACCACTTGCGAGCGTTTCGATATATATGTGTTATATATATAGTGTGTACGTATATGTATAAGTGTAGTAGAGATTACAGGTCTCTGATTTCTATTACATAATCTATTTATAGATATAAACCGTGAGATTCTTTTGATGTTTTAATTTAGATATTTTTGAAAATAAAAATTATGCAAATTATAATTTTCTATTTTAGAAAATTGATAATTATTATAGAAATTTTGTTCAACATTTTTCAAGCATGTTTGTGTTTTAAAGGCACTTATTTACTACTGGCTGTTTCCAATAAATAATTTAATGTAATATTTTATTTGATTATAACGTTTTTACTATATATACACAATTAAAAAAATTATTTTATATAGATGACTTTTCAAAACCAAAAGTAGCATAATCATGTGGTGCTGTTTCTTTGTAATTTGGAAAATCTTTGTCATTAGGATACATTGCTGGTCTATTCACTGTAACTTTCCATCCTCCTTTGCGTTCCCAATTCTAACAAAGTAATAAATATATTTAAATAAAAGTTTACTTGTAAATAGTAATTGTAAATAATAATTATTCAAATCGTATACATACACCTGCATTATATTTGAAATAATAGAGACCCGCATAAGTGCCAAGTATCAAAAATCCCATTTTGGCTATAAAGTGTCGTGCTATTTCTGCTTTAAGAGAACCCTAATAATTATAAAAGATTTCAAAATAGACTCTCTTTTAGATATTCATATAGTTATGCAAGAAATAAATACAAAAATTAGGTAATTTAAATATGAATAATAACCAGAATCTATAAAAATGACTAAATACTTACTATTACTGGAGTTAAAGCACTTTGAAATAGTTGCATAGGTGTTCTATAAAATCTTCTGATTGGGTTGTATCTTTCTTGATACCAATTATCTGGTATAATTGGTTCACCATGTAAGACTTGATCTTTTACCCATTTGGCTCTCCAAGCACGTTCAGTATCTGTCATACCAATTGCACGTTCTCTCTCACGTATCATACGTCCCTGTATATCCATAACTTTGACCCCTCCGCTCTTTGAGCAACCATACTCATTAGAAATTTCTGGTTCCCCATGACCTCCCACTGTTAAGAACATTAGAAATACATATATAAATAAAGGCTTACTAGAAACTAGCAGAAGACATAAAATGAGTTTTTTTTATAAATAACATGCTTGGTAATATAAGAGTAATATTCACATCTAATACAAGAAACTAAAACTTAAAAATAATCATAAGTTCATTAATGTTAAAGAAATTAAATAAAACTTTTTGATTAACTTTAATTCTACACATTCGACTGTATATTATTTTATTTTTGGAAGGATGAATAGTAAATAGCTATTGATTGGTTAGATAACTAGCAAAGTGAAAGAATTAAAAGTAAAACAAGATGATATAGTATGTAAACATTAAAATTTAAATACAAACTTTTGTTGCTTTCCTATTGAAAACACTGCCACAAAACAGGTTATGGGATAATAGAACTTACATTACATCACCGATAGATATGACAGAACAGTACTGCGCATGTGCATTTAATCGAACGAAACTAAAATTGTAATTCTCAATATTCTCATGTAACATAACTGAAAAGAGAAATCGACAATTTCTAATTAGCATTATGTTCAAACTTTTAATTATTGAAAAAATGTCGTGAAATTAATGAAATGAAAAAAATCAGTATGATGCGGTAAAAAACTGCTGAAAGGTGCAAGGAATAAATTAAATCGCATTATAGTCATAGGTAGATTGTTTATTTATTTTTTTCAATTGCAGTATACTTTTTTCGTCATAAATCATCTTTCGTAAGTTAATTACAAGTATTTTTTTATCTAAGTACTAAGGATTATGGGTATTTCACGGCATTGACTCTATTTGCTATTTCAGTTGACTAAAGACTTTTTTCATTATCTACAAATATAATAATTTGTATTTATATTTATATATGTATATTTTTATCTATATATATATTTCTCTTTTCCTCGTAACATCTTCTTATCCATATTTTTCACTGTTGCTTTAACACGCTTCCATTTTGTTTTATTAAAAAAACGAATGAGAAAAACCATCGTCAATACTTTTAAATCTATGTTACGTGGTGTATCGATTTTGCAAAAGGTTCTTTTTTAAATGTATCATTCGATAAATTTTAAAACGAGTTGCAATAAGAAAGAAATGTTTGGGTATGGATTTATCAATGAAAAAAGGTACACGTTAAAAAATCAATGCGCGTGACATTGAGCGTCAGTGTGAAAAATTTTCTCGATCTCGTCTCATTTGTCCATAAACGAATATGTTTCTCTGAATCTATTTTGCACACGGAAGAAATCAAGGCAAACCGATTTCGTTTCGCGAATACTTTTAGGTGAGAATCGTAATAGGTACTCGAGTGTTAAATCGTAGAGTTACTTGATTTGACACATATGATTGAGGTTTCGAGCAAGTCTGCCGAATGCTTAGCTCGCGTCTCACAGCCTAGAGGTGATTTAGATACGAATGCTCACACTTTTCTGTTTTTAACGAGAAAACGATGACATGTCGCTGATGCAGTATACTACGCTTCTTTTTTTAAATTTTAAAAATTTTTTTTTCGAGTTTAATGTGCCGAACCTGCAGGCATACATATGTTGTCTATTTTGTTTCATAGAAGTTTTTCTGACTTTTTTTTCTCTTCTCGTTAATTATCTATGTTTACTTGTTTATTATGTAATAGCCTTTTCTAAATCACTTGTTCTTTCACTTTATGAATAGCGCGTTTCTCACTCGCGCGAAACCGGGAAAGGACAAGTATTTAAAATGCTTTTCAAAAACACCAAATCTGTAAACTATCTCTTTTTTCCCCACGATATTCCTGATACTTATTTCGGCAAATTTGTGCTCGATAGGTCACGTCATATGCGTGCGGCTATATAAGTTTATTGTGCATTGGAGAAATGAAAATCAATAGTAATAAAATCTGACAGCGGAGCAGAGCAACTGCTTTGACCAATACTGTTTTAACCAGGAGAACGATATTTTTTCGCTTTATTAGCGCATTCGGAGACAGTTTTTTTCCTATAATTTTTGTATTTTTTCTGTAAAGAGATAGTTTTAATCGTTTTTTTTCTATCTAAATTTATGTACATTTCTTTCAATTATAGTAACACATGTAAAACGATCTCATAGTCATTTTGCAAAACACTTTCAAATTTATTTAATTTTAACATAATTTCATTAAACACCTTTGATATCCGTCCGTTTTTTATCACCTTTTAATTCATACATTTGAAACCGTGCATTATTATACTTGATTCTTTCACTTCCTTCCTCCTTTCGATTCAAACTTTAAATCGATAAAATCGCTCTAATAGTCAACAGATTTTTTTTTAATTATTTATAAACTACACAATGCACCAAGGTTATATCAGGTATATGTAAAATATATGATACATTGTCAAAAGCAATTATAACATATTTAAACTACAAAATATATTTATATATGAACATTATGTGGACAATCAAGCGCAACATAAATTGATGCGTCGCTATAATTTACATCTTAAACGTAACATACATACATACAATAACCAATACTCTTTAATTTTCCCTACCAACTCATACATATGTGTATACCATACATGAAATTATATACTTTCTTTTGTAAATCTGACGAAAGATTAACTCCTCTATATTTTTCATGTATAAGTACGTATTGCTTAAGTATTTTTTCATGACTTCTTTAATATACATGTTCCTTGAGCTGGTCACTCACGTCTTTGTTCATTAAGTATTATTAGAGAAGTGAATCTAGTAAAAAACCAATCGATTTAAACATTAGTTGTATCAATCTACGGGTTTACCTTTATACTTATTAAATTGACATGTTAATCAAAATACGAGAATTAAAAAATGTGTATTTACACAATGATCTAATTTGGTTTTTTCCTTTGATTTCTTCGGATAAAAAACGATCGTCAAGGTTATCTTTATATGTAAGGTATACGTGAAAAAAACTACTTTCAGCAATATTATGATTTTTTACAGTAACAAGTGGCTATCAATAAAATTCATCTCCGATAATATGCTATGGAACACGTAAACCCATATCAAGCCGATCATTTTTACAAAATAAACTGTCGTCCACTACGTGAAAATTGCGCATCCACAGTCATGTTTTATCCGTTTTGAAAAATTTATGAATAAAAATGGAAGTTAAAAAAACATAAAAACATAGAAAAAGAAATAGTAGTTTTGCCGTGCATCATATGCAGTCGCTGTACTGTGAGAATTACTTTTATAACTGTTTCATTAATTCAACATTACGTAATATGTCAACTTTGCTTCGCAGACATCGATTAATTGTAAGGACGTTATTTCACGCACATATATTTAATTTGTGGCTATAAATACATTGAAACTCGGTTCTATGAGACTTTTCCGCAATCATTTCGTTTCAGTTAAGTATATATTTTTTGCTTGTTTAAAAAGATTTCACGCGCGACTTTAATTTACGTAATTATGTTTACGATATATATGTAATGCATCTCAGCAAAAGAGAGACTATAATAAGTATGGCAATTATACGTATTACGCATAATACGTCATTGTCCTATTTATTATAAAGAACGACGTCATAACGTTTATCGATTTAACGTGTCTTTCTCTTTATCGCTTGCCATATCATTATTTCAATAAGTTTGCTTAAAAATAAAAACGTACACACGACACATATTCAATGATGTAATTGGATTCTTTTCTAATAGAAGTACGCTATAAATGGAGTTTTTTAGGTTTTGTTTTTTCTTTAATTACCTACTATTTATAATGCTTCCTCGTCCCTAAAATATTAAGGCTGAACTGAAGGTGCTACAAGACCATAATTTGTCGCTCGCACCTTTGCTAGTGTCATTGAGTATAGCGCGGTTCATCATTGTCAGGTGTGAGATATCCTCAGCAAGTATGTGTGTGTGCTTGCGAAAACTCACGAAAAACAAAGAAGACAAAATAACAACAACGTGCGTGCATAGGCCTTCTCATTTAGAGAAATTATTAACAATCATTCATCTACGCTCCTGTAACGTAATATTTTTTCCTGGATCCTTTGATTCGATTCGCTATTCATTTTTTTTGTAAACTTTTACGTCCTTCGTTTTGTTTTTTTTTTTTTAAGAATCGATGAAGAGCGCGCGATTCGAAGCGCAATTATCAATGGATGTTTTAGTATAACGATAATATGTAAAGTCTAGGCTACGTTCTAATAGTTCACGTGCTTATCAAGCAATAAGAATCATTATATTATCTGAATGTCATAAAGATTACAATTGTTTTTTTTTTCTCTAAATAACAACAATAATGTATGTAGAAAAGTGACAATCTCTTCGCGTCGTTGGTTAAACGCGAAGCATTTAGAAAGTATTGTGGCAGTGGTTTTCGTAGATGCTTCGACCTTAGCCTCAGACCAAATTTTGATTTCTCTTTATAATAATTTCAATGAAATTTCCTTGTTTCATGTTTTTGTAATTTTTTTACCATAACAACTTCTAGATATCAATTCGGAGAGCAAATGAATTTGCAAGTGTTTTTATTTACGTTGTATTCTTTTGATCGGGATGTAAGACACGACATACCTTTTTAGAATAAAAATTATATATTTTTCACTTTTCTTTCATAGAGAGTGTAATGTTAATTTGTTTTTATAGCCATTCCCATTTGATCATTGTCAAGTCGGTAGCTCATAGAATGTGTGAATTTTCAGTTCATCTATAAGTACTTTGTTAAAATACTTCCATACTGTTTGTTTTTTTTTCAATGATCCGTTTCAAGCTAAACCTTAAAACGAACATAGACATACAAATCAACTTTACTGGCGTAGTAATGAGAAGATTATTGAGCATGAAACGAGATATATGTATGTTTATACGTTATTATATTAACGAGTCGTAGATGCACGAGAGTTGAGAGCAGTACGACTTTTGATTAGTGCAAAATTTTGTTTGTATCTTTCTTGAAAAGTTTGCTTCGTTCAGTACTGCTAAGATTATCTCGATAGGTATACTCTTAGTAGTGCTTCTTTTCATCTTGCGCAACGCACATCTGTACCTCAATGAGCAAACCTTTGGCACGTAACTTTGGCATCATTTTCTTTGTCAAATGAGAAGTGCAATATCGATCGATCAGTCCAAAACTACTCTATTTTGCATCTTGTTTTTCTCAATTATTTTCTCATGGTCTTGTATTTTATTGTGTTATCTGCTTGTTCATATTATTGAGTGAAACTTATGCCGCGATTGGAGCGGGTACCGGTGCAATGTCGTAATAAAGATGCTCGTGATCATGGAAACTGGAAAGGTTCTGGCGCGTAGTCGCCGTAGTTGAAGATAAAATGTAGTCAATTAAATGCATTAAAAGTAAGACAGTTGTCGTGGGTGATCGAGCAATTGCCCCTTCTCCACTTCACGAGTACATGGTGATCACTTCTCGGCCTCCACCCCGTACTATCAGAATTTTCTCCAGGCCTTCCGTTAGCACCTCCAAGAACTCCATATCTAAATTGAGAGAGAAAGAGTAACGCCGCGTTTAGTTGCTAATTCACTACGAAATATTACTTCTATGCAATATGTGAAAAGAACTTGGCCCCTCGTTTATTTTGTGATCTCTGCGAAATTAGAAAGGAGGCGCCAAGCTTCGTCACAACATACAACTTTCGGTAAATAAAGAAAAAAAGGATACAATTTGATTCGCGTTCGATGTTCGTGTCTTTCGGCGGACCAGGCAGATTGAGAATAACCAGCTGTGCATCGTGGCTTTTGTTAACGATCACCTCGTTCAGTTTGATTGCCGTATGCATTCGCCTTATGTTGTCCTCCCCGCTACAAATAAGTCAAGAACGTGGCCTTTAAAATAATGACGCGCGATCAAGTTGGAAAAAGGCTAGACGACTCACGGTGTGCGGGGCTCCGGATGCTCGTCCTCCGTTTCCTTGTTGTTATCGTCCTGTGGATTCTCCTCGTTATCCGCAGCTGCAGCATCCTTTTCAGTAGCCTCCTTGTTGTTGGGCTTAGGCGACCCATCCACCGCTGTCTCCGAGCTTTCCTCGCTCTTCTTGTTCGTGTCCTCGGTTGTGTCCTCGGTTGTAGGTGCACTTGGCTCTTGGAAGCGCACCTTCGTCTGCTTGGGCTCCATGTTTGAATGATGATGATCGACGATAGCCTGAACCTATATGCGTTTTCACGGCGAACAACAAATTTTCGAGATCAGTAGTGTTCACGCTCAGGAGTGATTGTGTGTACCGGTCTGTACGAATACTTTTGTTTTGATTTTTGTTGTTGATCGTGTTGATTACAGCGATGAAAATGTTACGCAATCAAGCGATCAATTATTCAAACATTTTCAACGTCTGTATCAACACTCAGCTTTGGATTTTTTTGCGATGGACACATTGAAAATAAAGTGACTGAAAACTTATGGCTGAATAGCAGCATGTTTATGCTAAATAAAAGATGACGTGAATTTCAAATAAAAGCTACAAAATGTGCTAAAAAATAATATGGTGATGACTTCTTCCTCGACAACTAATTACAGATTTTGTCGACAGTTTTATCGAGCTGTCTAACACGCAACGCGTGACAGTCGTTTACAAGACAATCTGTATGAATCTACATTGCGTTGGCTTCGAATGGGGTTCACTCGTTGTATCAGGTTGTGATTTTGTTTGTTCTTTTGCGGTTTGGTGGACAGAAAAACATATGGAAAACATTTAGAACGAAATGTGAGAATACTTTTGACATTGTGCGTTACAACTAGTTGTAACCTTTTGAATTAAAAAAAAAAATGGCGAAGGACGCGTGCAAAAGTGATGATAATGCAATTGGAAAAAAAATAGATGGTTTTCGACGAACGTTACAGTATATCTAATACGCTGCTCGTGGTTTCTGTGATGAAGTGAGCATGACTGTTTGAAATAGCACAAGCAAACGACTTGAACAATGTATAACGAATAGATTCGAGAAAAAGCACGACGACGAGCTGGCAAATGACGTATTCTGTTGACGATGTGCAAACGATCCTTGAAATAATTGGCATATAGAGTTTTGATGGCGATGGTTATGAATGGCAATGAATATGGCGATGCTTGCATTCGATTGGGGATAAAAACGAAACAGCAAGATGAGAAACATTAAAAAAGTTGGAAGGGAACAGCTTGGAGAGTCTCAAGGGTATTCTGACAAACCGGAGGCAAATAATCCTCGTCTGGTACCTCGTTGAAGTCCGCCTGATCCACACATGCACGAGAGCATCCGCGACAGGGCAAGCGCAAGAAACAGACATTATCCGATCAGTAATCTTGTTTGTAGACATCTTATAACTTGATGAAAAATTTTTGTCTTTGACTATGTACGATTAAACAGGGCTTATTATTTAATTTCTTTTTCAATATAAGCACTACTCTATTGATCATATTTTGTTGTTTTTTGTTTGAATTCGGTCATTGTAAAACATATTGTCCAAACATGCTGACGTTACATTGCACTTTTCAACATAAATATATATCAAGTCCAAGTGTATGAAACATCGATTGTTATTTATATATCGGCTTTCAAAGTAAAATTTATGTACATTTATCCTGGAAAAAAGTTTGAATGAAGGGTAACAAGAGAGTGAAATGGCAGGACTCACATTCAGGCTATTTTCCTTCTTGTTCAAATGCATTTCCCGAAGCATTTGATTTCTTTGCTCCATCATCAGCGTCCTCTCGTAAACATAGGCGGATATGTCCGAGTCGTTCTGTAATAAAAGGACGTAACCTCGCTTGGTGAATTTGTTCCGTGGGAAAGAGGCGAAAGGCGCAAAAGAGAGAAAGAAGCGGGAGCACCAACCATTTCGACAACCTCGACTTCGGCCTCGATCCTGAGATCATAGAGGAACTTTTTGAGGTCTTTCTTCATCTGAATGGAGTTGTCCTCGATTTGGGCGACGGTGTAGATCTTCATCTTGCAGTTCTTCCAGGTGCGGTGCTGCTTAAGGAGGAAGGGTAGGAGCATGAGGAGACCACCGTCGTGCACGATCCACCAGACGTGAATGTCGCCGGAGACCTTCTCGGTAGAGTCGGGGAAGAAGTTGATGCCTTTGGGCACGATGAGGGCCATCTTGGCGGCGGTCACACAGCGCATGGTGTTGAGGAAGACGCGCCAGGTGCGCTCGCTGTCGGCCTGGCGCCAGCTGTACGGCCAGCCCAGGATCACGCAGTTGGGCTTCATGCCGCCGAGGCCCGTCATCTGCACGAGCGTGCTCAGGCCGTCGATCACGCTGCGGGACACCACCACGTCCACGAAGCCCTTCACCTGCAAGTAGAACGTTCGAGCCAGCGTTGGCGTGATGCCCCTGCTGCGCCGAGCTGCAGCGCGCTCTAACCTTCTCCTCCTCCATGATCCGTCGCAGCGCCTGCTTGGCCGCGGCCGCGTCGCCGGATCTGCGCGTGTAGTCGCCCTGGATGCAGCCCACCGCGATCGTCAGGCCCTTGCTGGCCTTGAGCTGAGTGACGAAGGCGAAGAGCTTGCGGTACTTGGGCACGAGGTCGTCGGTGAGCTTGGCGAGCACGAGGATCTGGGGGCGCCAGTTCTTGGTGTGGGGCGGGCCCTCCTCGAGGCGCAGCAGCGAGTAGCGCGCGGCCGACAGCGCCAGCCCACGGATCCCGTCGCCCCACTCCTTCTCGGCGCCGCGGTACTCGATGTACTTGTAGATCATGCCGGCCATGCCCATGGCGACCAGCGCGTAGTACCAGCTGGTCATGAACATGACGGCGATGCAGAGTCCCAGGCCGAGGCACGACAGGCTCCAATGGTAGAACCTGGGGAGCAGCGAGCGCGCCCTTGCAGTCGGCTACTCCTTGGCCGCGAGCACTCGAGTACTCACTTGAAGCGCGGGCGCCAGTTGGGGGTGCGCAGCAGGGTTTGCACGGCGCAGGCCAGGTTGACGAAGCCATAGCACATGAGAAAGAACATGGAGAGCAGGGGCGCCAGGTAGTCGACGTTGCCGAGAAGTATGCCGCACTGGCAAATGCACACCGTGAGGATGAGGGCGCGGGTAGGCTCGCCCCTGCTCGAGCTCACGGCGAAGGGCCGCAGAAACGGGATGATCTCGTCCTTGGCGATGGCCTGCAGCAGTCGGGGCGCGCCGGTGAGCGACTGCAGGCCGGCGCCGAGGGTCGACAGGAACGAGCCGACCAGAATCACCCACTCGTTGGGCCAGGCGATGTTGGCGACCACCAGGCGACCGCCGATGCTCTGGCCGAACTTGTCGCGAAGCAGCAGCGTGTCGACCGTACCGGCGAACAGCAGTACGCTCGACAGGTAGACCGTCGAGGTGGTCAGAATGGCGCAAATCGTGCCTATGGGGATGGACTTTTGCGCGTCGGCCAGGTCTCCCGACCTGTTCGAACCAGCCATGATACCTGGGGAGCAACGCGATCCAACGATAGTCAGCCGCTGCTTCTCGCGGGATATCCGCAGTGCGCTGCTTACCGGTGACCGACGGGAAGAAGATACCGATGAGGATGGTGAAGGTCGTCGTCAGATCGACCTGGATTTGGTTGTAGGTACTGCCGCCCATGTAGTCGATATCCTTTGGATCGTGACCGTAGGATATGTACTTGCCTTCTTCTTGGAAATTGCCCAGCAGGTTTTCTGCGACAGTTGCAAAATCGACGGTACCTCGCTGTCAATGCGGTCGGAAGGGAAAGAGGAGAGAGAGAGAGAGAGAGAGAGAGAGAGAGAGAGAGAGAGAGAGAGAGAGAGAGAGAGAGAGAGAGAGAGAGAGAGAGAGAGAAGCTTACCAAAGAAGACACCGCTCGCGAGTCCCTTGATGCCGTTGACGATGCTCACGTTGTTAGTAGCGTAATAACCATCGCAGACACTGGTGTTGTTGCAGTACGTCCTGATCATGAAATCGGAACCCTTGAAGCAGTCTTTCGTCATGTTGACCGCGGCAATGTCCTTCAGCAGCCTTTTGCCAAGCACGCACATCCTACAAAATGAGCCGTATTGGCAACGACCTTCCCAATGGCCGGAGGCAATAGATTTATGGCACAGTAGGACGAGGAAAGGATGATATAAGAAAGGGGGAAACGGCGTGCCTTGATCGATTATTCATCGACTGAGCGATGGTTAACGTACTTGAGCTTCTCGTTGCCGTTGATGTTGTAGAAAAGGCCCACGTAGACGGCGATGATGGAGAAGATGACGCAAGCGAGGGCCACCGCAGCGAACTTGTTGACAAACTTGACGCCCACGTAAACGATGAGTCCCATGACCGCCAGCAGGCATGTGCCGTACACTCGAAAGTTATTGAACATGATGTTCTGGTCCTTGGTGAAATCGCCGAATATGCTCGCCCAAGGCGCCATGTAGGTCTACGTTGCAAATGGTTAATTCCACGTCGCGAGAGGAACGCGAGCAAATTGTATGAGCGTTCGAACGAATTACCAGAACGATTTCGACGGCACCGATGATGTACATGGCGGCAGCAAGGGTGGTGCCGGTGTAGAATAACATCCCCACGGCACCGCCGAACTCCGGGCCCAGACTGCGGGATATCATGAAATACGAGCCACCTGCCGGCACGACGCCGTTCGTCGCGATGGCACTCATGCTTATCGCCGTCAGCATCGTCTGCAAATCACCACGCGTCGTGTGCGTCAAGCCAAGTCACTTCGCAGCCAGCCAATCCACCTCCAATTGCCTCGCGCACTCAAAGATTTACTCTCGCTGCGCGGTCGCTATTCCGCGAGTCCACAGCCGGACTGTTGCCGAGTAGAGTCTTTGAGCGCGGAAGCAATCGAAGATGCGCAAAATACTGACGACGCAGCAACAGGTGAACACGATGAAGAATCCTTGAATGGCACCAGCCGTGCCGACGACCCATGTCAATCGGATGAAAAGTATCACACCGAAGATGTTCTGGATGCATGGTAAGAAGACACCGATGAGGGTGCCCATGCGAGCGCCGCCCGGCTGAGCAGCTGGCTTCGCGTCCGGATCCGCTGGCGCCGGTATCGTGTTCCTGTAGTCCGAGAAGCTGCTGATAAAGTCCACCACTCGGGGACGTTCCTCCATCTCCTCCTGCAACGTAGCAACGCCATTCGATTATTACCGACCTGTCCTGCATAATCAACGGTATCATCCAACTTTTCCGCGCCCTCTTCTGACCTTAATTGCGTGCACGAAACCTCTTTAATTCTCGATCTCGCGACTATCCATTTGCGAAAAGCAGTTACCCCTTCGCCTAAGCTTTTTATCCTCGTCGCCTCGCTCGCGCTTTGCCAATCTCTTTATTCTCCGGGCCAAGTTTTTTCTCTCTCTCTCTCTATCTCTCTCTTGATGTACTTTTATTACCGTCAGCTTTCACTTATACATCCCATTGTCGTTTTCTTACTTCTTGCTCCCTTTGAAATTCAACGTAAATGCTTTTCTGTAAAACGATATGCGAATGTTGTGACTCTCGCGGATAAACGAATGACACGCCTCTAAATTAGCTTTTGCCGCTTTCACCTGATTCTTATGGACAAAAAGAAATCGAACTTGTCTTTTCAGCTGTAAGAAAAGCAAATTCCAAGAGCGCTTCGTTGCATATTAAAAAGACGCTAATTGAAAGACTAATCCATCTATCCTCTTAACGAGATTGCTTGCGAACAGAAAAAAATCAAAAATAAAAAAGAAGTAAAAGAGGAAAAGAGTGTGTCTTTGACCTCGTCCTCAGGCGAAATTAAGTATGGAACATCGAGCACTTCGATTAATACTTCACTCGATAGCCCTGCGCATGCATGCCGAAGTGGTCGGACGACGAATGAGGCGCGCGATCCAAAGCGAAACACGCAATAGAAATTGATTGCATGCGCGAGTAATAAAGACAAATGATTAGATTACGCGATAATCATACGTAATATTGGCTCGTTGAAGGAGCAACGGAGTGCTCGAAGCAATAACAAGAAGTATCGAGGAGAATCGATATTCCAAGGATTTGGCGGTCGAACAATAAAATCGACGAGAAAGCGCAGAGAACGGCAAAACCACTCAAGGATCATCGGCCTTTTCGCAATTCTTCTTTTTTTTCCTCTCTTTTAATATTTACATTCGAAACCGTGCTCGACTTTCTCGTAAACATTTTTCTATATGCATGAAAAGTCAAGCGCAGAAGTGCACAAAGGTAGGTGAAGCAGCGAGAGAGGGAGAGCGTGACGTTTTACAGCAATTCCTTATTCAAAACATCGCGTTTACGTATACTTTGCGGAATGAAAACGCGAAGAGTACACACTCCGTCGGAAACGAAAGAAAATCCAATCCCGTGAAGGCAGTGCGAATCTTTCTTTTGAAGAAAAAAAAATGTCCAGCTCACTTAACGATCTAATTGCAGTGGAAGAGAAAAGTTGACGCACTCCACCGAAAATCCCTAGACGCGCGCTAAAATGAGCAGGAAAATTTTTAGGCTTCCCTATCTCTCGAAAAGAGTTTCATTAAAGCCTGGGTCGCGAGTCATCGCGAGAGAGGCCTCTCTCTCTCTCTCTCTCTCTCTCTCTCTCTCTCTCTCTCTCTCTCTCTCTCTCTCTCTCTCTCTCTCTCTCTCTCTGGTATATATACGGTGTATCGCTTTTTATGAGATCAGCTGCAGAGTTGCAGCGTAATAACTTTTTCGCGACTTTTCAAAAGGCCGAATGTACCCGCGTTAGGAAACTAGTCCTCCGGAGGGCAAGCTTCTCTGTGCTTATTTTCTTCTTCTATTTTTTATTTTTTCGATACCAGTGCATCGTCTTTTTCTTCTCACCGGCGACTTATTACTTCCATTTCCGAGTGTCATTCCACACCGAGAATTCAATTAAGCTTTGAGTAATTGATACTTTTCAGGTAATTTCCGCGCGAAGAAGTAAAGTTTTATCAAGCCAAAGCTACGATATACGCGCTATTCGTTACTTATTTACGTAACGGCCATTTTGCAGAAGGGACGAGAGAAGAGTATCGACAAGTTTACCAGCTTTCCTTTAATACGGATTACTTGCTAAACTAATTTCATTACAGTCTCACTCGCGTCGTTTCCCCGTTATTTTAATATTAGCAGCATCTGTTTTCTCATCTCCACTCGTCACCACGTTTTACGACACTTCCCAGTTATCACTTTTGCAAGACCTAGTCACAGTAATGAGATGTAGATGAATTCTAATGATCGTTAAAACAAAGAATATCAACAACTTTATGTTCCTTTAAATCAAAGTCAATTGCATTAACTCCTTTTCGTTTTACGCTTCAGTAAATTAATAAATTAAATCGCTCGAATGTAGAAAAAAAAGATGAGCCTACGTCCCTCTCTCAAACGCGTACGTTCTATTTCCCCCGATGCTTCCTTTTATTCTATTTCCACAATTGTAGTACGAGCAAAAATTTGCACGAGAGAGAGAGAGAGAGAAAGAGTACGAGCGACGATTTTGCTGATTGCTCGTTTAGTTTTTCGGTCGGAAGGTCTGCGGCAGAGGAGGAAAAGAACGATGGCGCCGCAGTGGGCAACCACTTTTCGATGCATATTCGTTTTCTCTGCTGTCGTACTTCGTCGCTCGCAGTGTGCCCGGACATGTTTACACCCTTCCCTTGGTTTTTACGAGCGACGACAGGGGAGAAAAACGACGAGCGCTCGCGGAAGAGAGGCGACTTGATAAATAATTACCGCGTGAACTGCTCGGGGTGGTTAATGCGATTATTCGATCGTTAAATATGCGTCGACTAATTAACGTCACCAGCAGAAGATTGATCAGTAGCATTATAACGCTGACGATATTCAGCGCGCGCATCCCAACGGAACGACGAACGATCTTAATGCGCGCGATCGAATCATCGAAAGACTCTTGATTAATTCTGCCGTCGAGGCGCGAAAAGCATCTTGTCGTGGAACGAACGCGCGCCAGCAGAAAATAAGCGTGCAATCGCTGAAAAACGGGACGAGTAATGAAAACAGCGACGAAAGAAGCGAGATATATCGGAGGGGTGCGATAAGGCCCGCGGGCTAAATAGAATCAGGTCAAGAGCTCTCGAGTCGATCGTTCAGATATCGAACAGTCCTCTCTTGCCGCCACCATCATAGAGCAACTTTTTTTTCGGTGGTCTGACGACACTGCGCCGTATAGACGTCACTCTCTCTCTCTCTCTCTCTCTCTCTCTCTCTCTCTCTTTCTCTCTCTCTCGAGGCCTAAATCTTAACGCGGCCGTCTGCAGCCGTCGCAGGCGCGACTCCTTTTATCCAGTGCGCGCTTTTAGAACATTAAGGCTAAACGATCCGTGGGGAAAACTTGTTTACGACGCGGCTTGGATTTTAAGCTCCTCCATGTATGTGGCTATACTTTGACCTACTTGTATCTTTTGTGCATCGCGCGAACAAAAAAAAAATAGAACCAATTGGCCGTGACGTATTGCAGAAGGTTTCTAGTCCTTATCCCCGGTGAATGTGTAATTTGTAGATGCTCCCTCATCAATTTATTGTCCTATCAGGAAGGGGTTTCCTCCGAGACGACCGAATGAAGTATTAATCGAATATCTTCGCGGTGCTTTTTGAAGCTCGTTCGAGCGCGAGTGGGCGGCAAGCTGCATTCGGCTGATTTACTATCTAATCGAACGTGGAGGCGGAGGTGAAAAATCCTCTTGCTCGCTCTCGCACAAGCGGATTTAGTTCCAGGATAAAGCCAAGAGGGAACGAAGATGAAGCAAGAGGAGCTGTCGGGCAATGTATTGCTTGCCATTCGTTCGACCTCCTTGTCGGCCGCGTGCGCGCACT